TTCTTCTTGTTTACGATCCCCTGACTAGTTCGAAAGGATTAGAGAAGGGGGTACGTAATAGAATTGGTGGCTAGCGTCTGGGATTGGACAGACAACGAGTTGAATAGTTTCTTTTGATGCCATTTTCAGTTGGGGGCTCACGAGCTTGTGTTTTAGTTTTAAGCTTTATGAGTAGTGAGAGTAAAGTTCACGGAATCAGGAGAGTTTTCCAAACATTGAGTAAGTAGCGAGCTTATCACCTTTGTATTGACACTGAGTTTATTATGCTGTTTTTATGTTGGTCCAGTAGAGCTGGAATTTTTATTTTTATTCAGTATAGCTGGAGGGATTAATGCCCAGTATACTTGAATGTTTTTTGTGTGGTCCAGTGGAACTGGAGTAATCGGGTTTATTCAGTACAGCTGGAGGGTCAATTCCCAGGTACGTGAATAAATTCGTAATTTTGTTTGGTTTGCTCAGTATAGCTGGAGGGTCAATTCCCAGTATACGTGAGTAAATCGTTTGTGATCCAGTGTAGCTGGATATCTTAGTTTGGTTGGCCCAGTATAGCTGGTGTCTACCTGTTTAAAGTGTCAAAGGTGATAGCCGTACTTTTAATGTTTAAGTTAAAGTTGTTTGTTGTGAGCCACATTTTTAGTAGTTAACCGCCACCATTTAGCTGGATAAGTTCCGTAAGTGTGAATCATGGACGTAATGAGTTTTATTGAGTGTCCAACTCTAGAAGTTTTAGACAGGTTTTGTCGCGTAGAGTTGTTGCGTCTAGTTGAGGAGCTAGGACTAGAGGTTGACGTCTCGGATAGAGATAGAGTTCTACGAGATCATATTTGTGTTGAGTTGGTAAATACAGGTAGATTAGAGGAGTGTCTTGACTCGATAGAATATTATGAGATCGGACGTGTTAGGGTTGAAGAAATTGAGAGGAAGTATCAAGCTAAGTTGTTAGATATCGAGAGAGAAAAAGAGGCTAAGTTATTAGAGATCAGGAGGGATATATTCAGGTCAGAATCTTGGAAGGAAATTGACATTAAAAGTTTAGAGAAACTGTTCGGACATGAAGTTAAACTATTAGAGATCAGGAGGGAACGGGATTTACTTAGGCTATGGGAGGAGGCGCAGCTTAGTGGGTTGTTTGACTTTCCAGAATCTGTCTCTGTTTTCTCTCAGGCTAGTGTAGTAGTTTCCGAGGATCGGTATAGAAATGAAGATAGTTCGTTGTCTGATAGAGTTGGTAGTGAGTTTTGTCAGTCTCAGACTAAGGCTGCCACTAGCTTTGGCTCAGTCCCTGAAGTCGACTCTAACCTAGCAGAACCAGCACAAACGTCAAAACGTGCTGATAGCTTACGAGTTGAGAGTTGTGTGCCGACAAGTACTGAAGGCATTCAGCAAGTTATTGGTTTAGATAAAATCACGGCTACCACTCTGATGTTGACCAGTCATGAAAAGGGGCAGTCAATATCTGACCCAGTGGATACAACCACCGATGATATCCCGGCGACCACTCTGATATTGGCCAGTCATGAAAAGGGGCTGTCAATATCTGACCCAGTGGATATAACTACCGCTGAAATCACGGTAACCACCGAGAGAGTGAATACCCATGAGAACAGGCTGTCCTCGTCTGAACCTGAACCAGTAACTGCATCTGATCAAGACCTTACCACTTGTGGTCTTGAAGGCGTCATGACCTTAACTGGAGGTCATGTGAATGGTGACCCACACCTTCGGGTAGACGAGTCAACAAATCTTCTGCTAGCATCGGTAGCAGACGAAATCGTTACCCATTGTCTTGGAGGTGAGCCTAACACGGGCTGTCCTCCCATGATCCCAGCAGTATTTGATTTCTCCCCGACCAAGTCCAACAACCCGGAGGCCATGACCTCACCTGGAGGTCACGTGGATGGTGTTCTACATCCAGAGATCGAGGAGACGATGAATCTTTTGTCAGTGGTGACGAGCAAAGTCGTTACCTTTTGTTTAGGAGTTGAGCCTACCTCAGGCTTCCATCCCCTTATCACGGAGGTGATTTATTGTTCTCTGACCGACCCGGTCAAGACCAACAACCCGGAGACGGTGACCTCAGCGGGTCACGCTACTTCCTTCAACCGAGGGTGCGTACAAGCGAGCGCACACCCCATTGCTTTCACGAAGACGGGGCGTGTAATCGTTCCCTCTTTGTATGACTCGATGTTCAGGATTAACATCGTGTCAAAACATGGCTACATTGCAAGCAGTCCTGTGAAACCACGCCTTATGTGCGAGTTGTTGTTGTTGTGGACGGACAATAACTCTGTCACTAAAATTGTGCTGCGCCGGTATAAAGTTCGGCTTAAGTTTTATGTTTACGGACTCATGATGACCCGAAAGACGGAAAACTAATTTGTGTTTCAAACCTACTAGAACTGTTCCCAAGATAGACTGTTTCATGTTTTCCCGGGATGCAAGTGTTCTAATCAAAATGAACTGTTTTTAGGCTTAAAGAATGTACCTTTTACATGTCTTGTTTGAAAAAAAAATGTGTTATTGATGTTTTACATGATGATGAATTCGTGACAGTTTTTAATTGTATTGACAGGTTTTGTTGACTGATGACGTAACTATCAGTAAAACGAAGACTGTTGGTTTCAACATTGAGATTATTTGCGACAGTGACATATGTGTTGCAGATTTGCGGTTTTATTTACTTTGATGTCTATGTTTGATGACATTGTGTTTGGGGTATTTAGTCAAACCTGTTATTGTGACTAAATCATCCACGTTTCTTATCTTTTTAATTATGAAGATGTTAAATTGTTTTAGTCCTATTTAGGTTTATTCTGGGACTTTTGAGGAGTTGTGAGATTGGGGTGGTGGTCTAGGTGATATTCAATTAATTCCCCTTGTGGTGAATTAATTTCTCGAAGGGAGGAGGTGTTACGACCCCAAGCGATCTGTACCTGGGTTTGGCCCCATCGAGGAGGGCCAGGTAATTAAAATGAAATGCTTAGGCATGTTACTGTACTGGCCAGCATAGGCCGTGAGAGTCTGGGGGTCTTGACGGCCACACCACGGATTAGATTACGCTGTGGGCGTGGCAGACTTGGAGACTTGGGGGACTCGGCTATTAACGTGGCCAACAGCCCATAAATTACCTGGTGACACCACGGGCTGACCGTTGATGCTTGATCTAGGCCTAGGCTAGTGACGGTCCGTGTTTTACGGCTGGGAAAACCTTCCAGGTCGGAGGGGGCCGAGGGGACCGTCATGGACGGATATGACCTAGGGTCAGGCCTTAATTAAAATCGTTCCCACGGTGTAGGGCGGGGGACGAGTACTTTAGGAGGGTAGACTGGGGACACTCTGGGACAGACACTCGGGACACACACACGGAGACGGACGGACGTCTCGGATAGCTAGGTTTAGAGGAGACAGACATGGGTCGTCTCTGTGAGTTAGTGGAAAGCCACGACATGTTTTAGACTTAGGCTAGGCTTGACAGTTAGGGACAAGTAGATTAGTCAAATTAAGGACTGTAGTTGTAGTACTTAGTTGTGTATATTTCTGATTGTTGTACTTCGGTGGCGGGTTAATGTTAGATGTTGTATTTTGTGGCGAATAAATAGAGATTACTGAAGTTGGCTTTTATTTATTTTTATTTTTCTTCTTCTTGTTTACGATCCCCTGACTAGTTCGAAAGGATTAGAGAAGGGGGTACGTAACAATATATATATATATATATATATATATATATATATATATATATATATATATATATATATATATATATATATATATAGTGTTAGAGATGGTGGTTGTTAACTAATGATTTGCATTCATACTTTAGTGGATCAACTGTCAATAAAATATTAACGTTTTGAATTTAAATTCAGTTGATCTCATTGTGTCATAGTATCACTCCTGTTATTTGTATATTTTACTATAATTTTTACCTTCAAAATGTATATTGAAATAATCGTAATAATGGTATTTAATAATGACAATGTATGTTTATATCACGAAAAAATAGCATTTTTAATTTCCACATTCTGTAGTCAAAATGGTAGTTAATAAAGAAATAGTATGTTAATATGTCAATATGATGTAAACAAACATTAACACACCGTAATATAAGGGAAAAAAAACATGTTAAAAAGAAGCAAAATTAGAATTTAAGTAAATCTATATTGTTTATAATATCAAAATATAACTGTGTTTGCCAATGGCATAGTCATAAAATGGCACATCAAGCCCAATAAATGGATAATCTTAATCTGATTCGTTTTCGAATCACAATATATGTAAAATTTTGAGGACACTATCTACATCCGGGTTTCCAGCCTTTTTAATAATTGTGAGTTTTCTAATAACCGTAGACACCAGGTTATCCGTTGGATAATTTCCGAAATCCATGGTACACAAAAATGGACGATTTCCTTATGTTTATTTCCCGATTTCATGGAGCAGATAGGTTCTTGTCTAGTTCATAACGCCATCAACCGATTCTGAAATTAACCAGTTCCTGACATCACAGTCGATTTCTGCGTGTCATTATCTTCGTATTCCTTCAGTTTCTGATATCATTTGCAAGTTTATCCCATAACCTCCCTATACTGGTGGCATCAGGCAGTGGGTCAGGATACGGAATGTAAGTGTTATTCCGGATGTTGTACAGCAGTTCCCGGCCAAGGTCAGTCTCCGGAATTTTTTCCATCAGCAGAAAAATGAGAACCGGCCTGCCGGTGTGGATGGACTCGATATTGGCCATCTGAATTTCGTAGCCACACCAGTAGCTGTTGATCATGTTCCTCGTCAAGACGACCACAGTTTTCCTGCAGGTACAGACAGCTTTGACGATGTTCGAGGCGATGTAGTCACCAGCTACAAAATCTCTGCCGTGAATGAACACGTTCAGCCCTCGTTTCTTTAGCTCGGGATAAAGTTTGTTCACAACAAAATTGTGATCTTTGTGATCATACGAAATGAAAGCATCGAATTCGAAGTCGTTTTGTTTCTGTTTGCCAGATTTTTTGTACTGCAGATAGGCTGCGTAGTACAGATATCGTATTCGCCATCTGTATCTGTAGAGCAAGGCGTAGATAATCAAAGAGAATGTCATTAGTGAACCGCCACCTACGGATAAAAATATAACCACGTGACTACTACATTTCCCGTTTAAAATTAGCATAGTAGAATTGTACCCGTCGTTGACATACTTCGTTGATTGATCTTCAGAGAAACAGAGATAGTTTCTAAAGTTTTTCTTAAAAGCGCCGGATGTGGTCATCCATTTTAGGAACTCGAAGTTCTCACACGTGCAGGTTATTGGCACAAATGCCAGAGACATTTTAAAACTTATGTTGTGAGCTAAAAGAAAATCAATGTGAAGTCGTATGACTGGTGAAATATTGTGCAGCCTCGCATGTTTTAAACTTATGTACTCCAATTTGTCTAGACGAGATAAATCTACATCAAACGTTTCTATCGTGTTTGTATCTAAATACAGTTCCCTCAAGTTTGTTAATTCACTGAATACATCATTCGGTAAAGTAGTGATTGAATTAAAGGAAAGATTCAACAACCGGAGGTTCGTTAAACTGGAAAACACGATGGAAGAATTTCTGTTATTGAAATAATAACCGAGAAGGTTAGAGCTCATGTTTAGAACTTCGAGGCTAGACAAGTTGCTGAAAAATCCATTTTCGATGTGGGCCACGAAACTAAATGAGATATCGAAATACTTTAAGTAGTTGAAGCCTTTTAACGGGCCTATCAGAATCGGAAAGTGGTTGTCAGTGATACTGAGAGACTCTAGTCGGTTTTCCTTCACTCGCAGTTTTGAGAGAACATAGTTCAAATTTGCGCCGTTCATTTCTAATCGCTTTAGTTTTGGTGGTAATGTAAACTCGAAAGGTTTCCCGTCGTATGAGGTTTCGTCATACAATGTACATTTTTTCTTCTTTGAAGACTGCATCAGCGCGTAAGGATACCTGCTTGGGATGCTATAAGTAAAACCAGCTTTGCTGAGCATAAGGACAGTCAGGTTTTCCATTTGTGAGAGATCAGCCAAGTACGTTCCGAACACGAATCTGTTTCCACTCAGGTCTAAAGTCTTTAAGGTTTTGGGAAGTTTTTGAATAAACTTTCTGTCAACCGCTTCAATGTTGTTTTCCTGAGCTTCGAGGTACTCCAAGTTTGGAGGAAAGTTGTGAAAATAGGAACTCTCCAAACAAATTCCTAATGAATACCTGTTTACGATTAGATTCATCTTCAGAAATTTTAAAGTGGTTGTTTCATTCAAGCCGTATAAAACATTATTAATGTATGGAATGTCAATATCTTCGTTATGTGTTAGGTCGAGAAATACCAAATTCTTTAAAGGCAAGAAGGCCCCAGCTTCAATGTAACGACCTTGTATGAAGCAGGAGCTTATATCTAAGTATTTTAAATTAGTTAAATATATAAATGTACTGTTGGTGAGAGAGTTTATTTTACATCTTCCTTGTAAATAGCCAGAAACTGTTAAATTAGTTAGCGAAGTCATGTTTTGAAAGCCTGGACCAAATGGTTCATTATAAAGCCCATCCAAGAATAAAGTCTCGAGTTTTTGCAGTTTCGATAAAGCTTTATCTGGATATGAGAAATTGCTGGAGGTGTTTTGAAGCAAGTTAAGTTTCAGCCAAATTAGACTTTTTAACGGGCTGAAAACATTATCATGGAATGTCGTATCTCTTACCTCTAGAGGATTTGCTCTGAGATTTAAAGATAATAGTTTAGAAAGTCCATTGAATGCTTGCGGATTAAGAACAGAGATCAAGTTACACGAAATATCGAGAACTTCCAGCTCAGTGTATAACAAGAAGTCATCGTTCTGTAAAACAGTAATAGAATTGTTTCTAAGGTATAGATAAACGATAGTGTTAGGGAAAACTTTATCTCGTACAGTTTTTAAACCGCATAACGTATAATTAGCGTATGTCTGGTTGTACCAGCAGTGTTTGCTGAAGTTCTTCCCGCTAGGGAGGTCCGGACGTGGCAGGATTGATGCCTTGTGGTCGTCATCTGCAGACGCATTTGTAAAAATCATAGACGAATACACGATGAGTAGTAGGCAGACTGCTATTTTAAACGACAGTTGCATCTTCAACGTAGTTTTTCTGTGAGATATATTTTTCAAAGAAATGACATTAATATTTTATTTTAAAAAAATAATAAAAAACAACAATGAATGCAATGCATACATGATACATGTGCTGATTATTAGGGCACATCAAATAGAGTTAAAATACTTCTTGACCTCGATGTGTGAAGAGAGTGTGTAGTCAGCCTTATGCCCACCCTCCTTTTACGTTCCACAAGTCTTGTGCCCATCAGAGCTGGGTGGACTCAGAGATGTCCTCAAGCACCAACTACGATCAGAGATCATATCTAGGGACCTTCGAACTAGCAACGGAAATCTCTACCATCCCCCCTCGATGTTCCATAAAAAAAAACAAGTTATTTTATTGAAAGACGAGAAAAGCATAGATGTTTATTAAATAAAGAATTAAATTTAGTCACAAACATTGGCTGACATGTGTCATGCAAATCTATGTATACTAGTGTTTGTGCCATCCCGCAGAGTTAATTGAAACACATTTCTTATTATCTGCACTTTCTCAAACTCACAACACATCCAACTCAAGCACTTAGATCTCCCGATACAAGCTCAAAGACTTCCCTCCTTGAACTCAGATCCCCATACTCCTAATCCCTAGCTTATTATACGTATACACCCTTATATCAAAAGCTTCAGATCCACTACATCTAACTCATCTAACTATGTGGTCACCCTAGTTGTAAATGTAATTAATTTATTAGATTAAATATTATTTCTTCTGACGTTTTATCGGGGATTACTTATCCTAAAAGCTTAATTTTAGTCGCTGTCTACCTTCTAACTCTTATGTTTTCCAAACGAAATTAATCTACATAAATGAAAATATGTGTGTTTGTAGTTTTTTGGGTTTGTCCTTTATGCATTACTACACCTTTCATCGGATCGCATGAAAATTTGGAAGGTTGATGAGACCACTCCATTGAGATTTCTGGAAAAAAAAATTACAATTTCGCGGGGCGGCAAATCGCAAGTAAGACCTGAGTGTTCTTTTGCTATAACCATAAATGTTTAACTTGAATTAAATATTGGGTCTTCTTTTTATAAACATAATTGTTTAATTTTATATTGGATAGGATTTTAATATTAGTAGAGTCTATGAGCCGCGAAATACGGCTTGCGGTCCATAATGAACAGGAGGCCTCCATCAAGCCGCAAAATGCGGCTCGTAGAAGGAATGAAATATAAAATGAAGCACCTGTGTTTTGGTGTGATGATCTCAACAAAAGAACGATCGGCCTTAAAAGAATATATTTTATAGTAGGTTACCAAGTATTTAAAAAAAAAACGCAGACTTAATAGTATACTTTTACAATTACTAAAACCTACATACCAAAATCTACAAATAAATATTTTTAAAAAAAATCTTGTATATAAAGCAACTATCGAAATATGTTTAGGCGTATATATATATATATATATATATATATATATATATATATATATATATATATATATATATTAGTGTATTTCAGCTTAAAAGCTTGTTATATTAAATACATTACAGATCTTCTTGCTTTTAAATCAAGCAAGTTTAAAGAATCTACTTGAATATCATAAATCCAATTTGAAAAAGTGAACCGTTTTAAAACAAGCGCTGTGAGCTGATATAATTCATAAGCTGGGCTACCAATTATGACAATCTCGATGGGGGATCGAAAAGTCAGAGGCATCGCTAGGCGGGGACAGGGGTGCGGATCGCACGGGGTGACACCAAGACAAAAAAAATGTTTTAAATAGATGATCCCTACAAGGGGGGGGGGGGGGGGGCACCAAGCTAATTATTGAGAAAGCCATGAAATGTTGCTTTGTTTTATTTTGTAATAAAAAATTCAGGCGATTTGGCCAAATGGGAGGGGGGTGACACCAAGTGTATTTATATATATATATATATATATATATATATATATATATATATATATATATATATATATATATATATATATATATATATATATATATATATATATATATATAGCCTATACTTTTTCTAATAAGGTGGGGGGGGGTGACACCAAGAGGTGCCGCACCGGGTGACACCCGACATAGCGACGCCACTGCGAATAGTGTAGAATATCCCTGGTGGGTACCGGACTAACGTTTAGAAAAGTAAAGATGGCTTGGCATAAAACTAACCAAACTATCACTTAAAATGCTGTAGTTACAAAATCATATTGACCTTAAGCTATAGATCTATTAAAATGTATCCCACATCCATTGAAACACATTTAGTTAGTCGTATGTTGACATCCACTGCTGTACGGAAACAGCCGGGGGAAAGCGAAACTAAAATCGAAACCGTCGCAGGGGAAGTTACCTCTGGTAAGCATTAAGTTTTTAAGGTGTGTCACGATGATTGATTACTCATATATTTATATGGTTTAATATTCAGAAAATTGCAGATTACTGGAGTTAATTTTTAAGGTGTGTGTTGAAAGCCTATTCAGTGGCGTCACTAGGTTGGGTGTCAACTGGTGCGGTAACCAAGGGTGTCACCACAGCCTCTTCCAACAATTTTACATTTTCGGTTTGGAGTCACCCATCTCCCATTTCTATTTTGTTAGCTAGATAAAAATATTGTTTAGTATAAATATTACGAATTTCAATTTGTTGTTTCACTCTCTAAACGGTGTCACCCGGTGCGGTCCGACCCCCCCCCCCCCTCACACACACACACACACACACTCACACGTTGTTACACTACTGAGACGATTTGCATTAAATGGTATAAGGGGTGGTATAAAGGAATTTATATAACACTACATTGGATATTTTTATAAGCTTTTATTTAACTTGATCCCAATTTCGTTCATTTGTCTGTTTTATATGTCGAAATTTGCGAACGAAATTTCCAAAACATTACACGACGATAATGTAATGTGACATACATTTAGATAAAATTGTTAAGTAATAATTTGTTTTTAAAATAATTAATTAATGATTGCTAATCTACGATAGATAGAAACGGCGTTATCGGATGGTAGAGCTTACGAATGCTAGCGCGAAAGTCTCAAGTTCGGATCTACGATTCAAGTATGTCGGACGTCCCTGAGTCCACCCAGCTCTTATGGGTACCTGACTAAGTTAGGAAAAGTAAGACAGCCGGGCATAGTACTGACCACACTATCCCCTTCAGTGGCGTAGCGAGGTCGGGTGTCACCCTGTACGGCACTTAATGGTGTCACCCCCCCCCCCCCCCCAGAGGCTTAGAGACCCTTCCCAGGGACAAACTTTCAAATTTTCAATTTGCACCCCCCTCAAGTTTTCGATGCGCACCCCCCTCAAACTTTCGATTTGCACCCCCCCCCCCTCGAGTTTTTCTCTATATATTTTGCTATTTTTTGCCTTGGTGTCACCCCCCTAAATGGTGTCACCCGGTGCGGTTCGCCCCCCCCCCCCTCGCTACGCCCCTGATCCACTTGAATGTGTATAGGGTGCGAATCGTAAAAAGATAATGATGGTAATATAACAATCGTTTACCAATTTGCTAGTCATAACAAGGACTTTATCTATATTAAAAAAGTTTAAATTTTAAAAAAAAACTTACCCTAGCCTATACTTACACTACACGTTTGTACTACACAGGAAATATCTCAACTTAAACTACTGTGCTTATAAATTATGTGTACGTACACTATCTTAACAACTAAACATTCTTGTTTCCCATCTCCTCCTTCGTTATTTTCAACAAATCAACTTGTTTACAGTTTGAATGGCTTGTGACCTTGACCCATACCTCCTTTTTATATGCCTCCACTTAGGTTTCTGAACGCTTGAATAGAGAATATGACTCAAAAGTGGGGAAATTTACAACACACTCCCGCCTCCCGTTGAATAATCTAAACAAAAGGTAAAACTTGTTTTCTAAAAATGGATATCACGTGATATAAACGAATAATACTAGAGGGTGTAAACGAAACTGAAAAAGCCGACTTTAATACAACATAGTCGTCCACCAACTACATCGTGTATTACTAAAAATAACATGTCTACATTGTGTGATCAGTTGGAGGGGGTGGGGTGGAGGGGTTTTAGGATAGAGGTAGTATTTTGAATGTAGTATCTTAATAAATGTAGGTTTAGAGTTGGGGTTGATGTTGGATATACGTTTGTAGTTGGGTTTTGGGTTCTTCAGCATAAGAGGGGGGGGGGGGGAGGTAATTGACAGGGGTAATAGCGAGGGGGGGGGGATCCGGTGGGAGGATTATAGACCATATATATATATATATATATATATATATATATATATATATATATATATATATATATATATATATATACATATATGCATATAGCCTATATTTACAAAAATATCTACAGGCCTATATAATGTGTGAGTGCATGTAGTGTAGGCCAATATGCAATTACTACCACGCTCCAGAGGCGTAGCGACCCTTCCCGGCGCCCGCGGACAAACTTCCAATTTGGCGCCCCCCTCGGAAACAACCTTTCAGTTTTCACCCGCCCCCTGAAACTTTCAATTTGCACCCCCCCCCCTCAAACTTTGAATTAGCACCCCCACCCCCACATATATTTTTTATATTTATAATGCAGAACTGCAGCTAAAATGAGATTTTAATTTGTTTTTACAACCAAATTTGGCGCCCCCTATGGTCGGCGCCCGGGGACACATGTACCCCCGCCCCCCCCCCCCCCCCCCTCTCGCTACGCCTCTGCCACGCTCAACTAGTCTCGCCACCAAAAAAAGTTTGAATGTCCCAGTTGCATTGAACGTGGTTTCCAGGGAAAACGGGGTCATGGGTCACCGGGGGGGGGGGAAGTGGTAGAAGTTCCGGGCAGGGTCAACAAACGAGCGGTAGACAACACTAGACCAGAGGTGTATCGATGGCGGGGGTGGGGGTGCGGACCGCACCGGGTGACACCATTTAGGGGTTGACACCAAGTCAAAAATTTGCAAAATGTGCAGAAGAAAAATGATTTTTGCCAGTTAATTAAAGTTAAATAGTCTTTTAAGTACAAACTGTTTATAATTACAAGAGGGCGGGGGTGACACAATGACCTGAACGTGCTAAGTATAGAGAAAACAATGCTACATCCAACAGTATTATTAACAGACTAAAGATAAACATCGTTAGTCTTAGGTCTTCAGTGATTAAAACTTATACACGTACATGTACGCAGCATATATTTAAATTATAGGCCTATGTAGGACAACATTATATATATATATATATATATATATATATATATATATATATATATACAGTGGCGTAGTGAGGTCAGGTGTCACCCGGTGCGGCACTTAATGGTGTCACCCCCCCCCCCAGAGGCGTAGCGACTCCTCCTGCGGACACACTTTCAATTTTCGATTTGCACCCCCCCCCCCCCTCAAATTTTTCTCTATATATTTTACTATTTTTTGCCTTGGTGTCACCCACCTAAATGGTGTAACCCGGTGCGGTCCGCACCCCCGCTATATATATATATGTAAATATATATATATATATCTATATATATATCTATATATATATCTATCTATATATAAATATATATATATATATATATATATATATATATATATATATATATATATATATATATATATCTATATATATATCTATATATATATATATATATATATATATATATATATAAATATATAAATGTATATATATATAGTTTCTTTGTGTGTGTGTGGGGGGGGGGTGACACCCGACCTAGTGACGCCACTGAACTTAACCCCACTTGTGTGCTGTAGCCTGGTGTAACGTGAAAAATAGTTTCGAGCATGTCGCTTGACTGTATTACTTTGTTTAAGGGCAGCACTTGAGAAATACAGTGATGTTTCTGTTTACGTGTTAAGTTGTTTGGGGTCACCCCTAAGTGACGCCTTGTAGACCCATTTAATCAAATGTCACTATAAGCAGATATCTAAAAAAAAAAGTCCCATTAGATTAGTGACCAAATGGCCAGAGATTAGACTCTGTGAGGAACTAGACATATCTTAGAGTTGAACTTCTACTTCTAGGCAAACGAAGCAGAGGACGACTCGGGAAAACATGGACCAGATTTTCTTCCAGGCATCTCATCGGGGAGGGGGGCTGAGCTCCCCACCCCCCCCCCCCCCCCCCGAAGAAAGTCTACCGCCCTCCAACCCCCCAAACGAAATGGAATTACTATAATTATAGAAAATATATACTTTTAACAATCCCCCCCCACCCCTGGCGAAAAAAAAGTCTGGAAGAAACACTGGGGATGCTGAGGTTTGGGAAAATTTAAAAGACTGGCTATGGGTCGGCGTGGTCGAGTCGGTAAAGCTCATGGTTGCTAAACCGAAAAGTCTCGATTTCGAACCCTCGGGCAGATGAGGCTCGTTAGCTGGGGACAGCCACTCTTCTAGCAGAGACAACTCCAAAATCAAACAACTGCTGCCTCGTAGTTAGTTCTTGGTTGGACAAAGGCTATGGAAGCAAACCCAAGAAGAAAAGCAGGCTGAAATCGGAGTCAATGGCCTCAATGGCGCATAACCAGTTGACACGTAACGCTTAATTGTGGTGGAGGCGTGGTCTAGTCGGCAAAAAGCTCATGGTTGATAAATTCGAACAAAGTCTCTGGCAGATAATTCTCGATCCCCTTTAACACTAATAATTAAGAACGAAGAAGAAAAGACTGGCAAGGAATTTCCAATTTTTTTAACAAGCTTTAATTAATTAACATAAGGGAAGATAACTAGCTAGACGCGACAACACTAAAACAATGTCTACAATCGTAGAGCTGACTGGTAGACTTAGTAAAGACTATTAGGGGCAAATAATAAAGTTTTTAAACGATTTCAGACAAAAGGGAGGTAAAAAATAATTATTAAGAACTTGCTGTCGTCCACAAAATATGGTTACTTCGACTGCTTTTCAAGGAGCAGATAATCTTTTACTTTTAGATATCGCGAGCTACTGAAGGTGTTTTAAAGCTAATAATTTTAGTCGTGTCATCTTCATAAATCACTAATAAGTAGAAAATAAAACAAATATAAAAATCTTTATAGCAACAAGCTTTTTAATTTAAATGCCCTGAAAATAAAATTGTTTTTTCATAAAAGCTTTGTCGTTATACTATGTAAGGATTTGACGAGCGACCAAAGCTTTTATGAAAGAAAACAAATTTATTTCAAAAGCTTACTACTAAGGTTTTTTTTTTTTTTTTTTTTTTAAATATGTTCTATTATTCAATTATTAAGATTAATCAACAATGATCCATGTTGCTAAAAAAAGGTTTTATTTTCCTTCAAAGGGAAATGACTCAATATTTTCAGAAAAAAAATCGCCCAACCTTTTTTGATCTCCATACGGAATTAAAAATTATTTTAACACATAATTTTTTAAGAAAAGCAGTTATTTTTTTAAATTAATCTACTTCCAGAAGTAAAGTTCATTTTAAGCCTAAAATCTTTAGGACAGATAAAGTAAATTTCATGTTTCTTCACCTCAAAATATGTAGGGATAGTGGAGTCAGTACCATAACTTGAGTCAGGTACTCATTAGAGGTAGATGGACTCAACATTCTGCAGTCCCACCCGAGATCTGAACTCCAGACCAATGGGATAGTAGCTGTGCACTCTCTCACACCATGCCAACTTTACTAACTAGATCCATTGGTCAGATGAACTGAAGTAGAGTTCATGTTTCTTGACCTTGGCATTTTAAGGGATGGCATGGTCAGTACTGTGCCCTTTACTATAGTTTACAAGTTTTTAAGTTGTTTGTAAAGAAATTTTTTTACAAAAAATAAACACAACAGTTGTTGCTCAAAGTGAGTTTTAATTTGCATGTAATAAATTATAATGTGTGCCATTTGATGTATAAATATTTTGTTCACTGTACCTGACTGCCATTTTTTTTTCCAATTAGTATGTTCTAAAACTAAATAATACACAGACTTTATCTATTTAAATATTCAGTATATATTTTTTATAGTTTAGCTAAAGCACATTATTTTATTTACTTACATTTTGGGAAGTTCTTGAATTATTTTATTAATTTAAATCTCAGTATCTGAACATCTTTAAAACAACTTAAAACATGTCTAATCTTTATACAATTCAGCAACTATGTTCATAATTTCATGTCCACAGAATGTCGATCCACCATTATTTACAATAACTAGACGAGAAATAATTTTCTTAGCTGGTGACAACAAGTTTATAATGCGACAAAAACCAGCTAAAAAATGCAACCGCCGCGATAAGCAGCAACGAAATTATTGCAAAATTCAACTCCATGGTTTCGTTAGCCTGGTCCACTTGCACGGCCTGCTCAACTTGTACCGGAATGACGTGTACACGAGGCCGTGTGTGGGGGAGGTGCTGGAACTGTTGCTGCTCCAGGTACTCATCAAAGCTGGAGTTTTTCCTGGAGGTGTCCATGTTGTTGTTGTTGGTTGTGAGTTCCCTTTTGGTGATGGCGCAGTTTTTACTCACACCGTTTGTTACTACTGTGTCACTGGTTTTGACCACACCGTTAGCTTTTATTTCTTCTGACTTGGTTTGGTTATACGCTTCTTTAATGCCATTAGTTATCACTTCCCCTGATTTTATATGGTCCTGTGCTTTATTAAATCCATTAGCAATTATCTCCCCTGATTTGATATGGTTGAGTACATCATTGATCTCATTAGCTATAACTTCCTCTGATCTCATGTGGTCATCAGCTTCATTTACACTGTCAGCTATAACTTCCTCTGTTTTGATATATGTTTTACTGACACCATTGGCTGTTCTTTCTTCTGATTGAATGTTATCACAGGTGTTAATGACACCACGAGTATTTATTTCTTTTTGTGTGCTCTCAATAATGCTGAAGTCAATAACAACTTTACTCTGACGAGGGTGGAACTGCCTGTTTTAAAAAATTATTTTAACAAAAACTTAGCAACAACAAAAAAAAATGAAGGGATTCTTTTTAGAAGGTAAACTTTGTCACTACAATGGTATATAGTTGAAAGAACTTAAAAATAAAACATTAAAGTTGGAAAAATAAGAAATTTCCTTTATTGATGTTCTTAAACTAAAATTTCTTTTCATTATACCTAGAACAAAAATCTGTTATCTACTTCTCGCTCCCTCTACATCCATCACTATTTATTATGTCATTTTACAATCAATATTTACCTGTATTTAATTTTAGCTGTATCTAGTAGTCTCCTAGATGCCTCGAACTTGGGGTCATCGTGATACTTATCAGAGTAAAACACAACTTCCTTGATCCCTGATTGGATGATGATCTGGGCGCACATGTTGCAAGGAAACAGAGCAACGTAGATGGTACATCCTTTAATATTTGCCAGATTTTTGTTCAGGACAGCATTCAGCTCAGCATGACAAACTGGTAGTAATGAGAGTAATAAAATTTAAAATAAAAAAGGTTCAAGGTGTTGCAGAAACTGTAAAACTCTTTATATCTATGGCAGCAATAATGAAGAAAGTTATACATTTAAAACAAGTGTACCATTTTCTATTGTAATTAGGCCTTGTGGGGGACGGTGTGGTAGGATGAGAGAGCTTTCTACTGTTAGCCTGAAAGTCTCATGCTCGGATTCCCAGGATCGAGATTGTAGGATGTTTCTGAGTCCACTCAGCTCTTATGGGTACCTGACTCACATTAGGGAAACTGATGCATACCCCTGTATGCAGAGCTATTGAAACAGACAAACTCTATTTCATCTGCCCAATGTATCTTAGGCACAAACGGTAAAAGTGATAATTACATAATTACTTGATCAGTAAAAATTTTAAACTGACGAATATTTATAAAATCTGAATCAATCATTAATAAACATAGCAACTTGTATTCAATTTAACATAAACTTGCCATATGGAGATTTGCTCTTCAGCCATTGTTCTGGACTTTCATCGGATGCTCTGTTCCATGGCATGCTGTCATCATCACATCCAATAGGCATCCCATTGTAACCAATGCCCACAACTTTTTTATCTTCACTGACAATGCATGCCCCAACCTGCAAATAACAATAGCATTGGTAAAGGTTTGATAGATGAGCATCTGGCTCTTATCAATTCACTACCCAGGTTTGTGTTTTTAGATACAGAAACTGAGAAATTACATAGGCTTTAACTATACCATCTATCTATACTAGACTATAGGTCTGATAAGCCTCATCATTATTGTACCATAAAAAATGTAGGCTTGTGTAGGATTTAATATTTACCTGTGTCCTGGGATCTTTGCTTCTTTGAGCACTTAGGAATGCTATGGACATGAAATACTCCTCCCATGTTAAATAGTTTGTACGTTTTGTAAGTTGGCTCACAGCTATGATGTTGTTACTGGTAAAGAAATGCTTAATGTAAAATTCTAATTTAGGCATATTAGCCTGCCCTACTATTAGTATTACTAAGACCCAGTGTTTATAAGACATAAGTCTAGGACTGTAGGTAGCCTAAAAATATTTAGGCATTTCATCTTTTATTATTTTGATACTATCTAGCTGGGTATATGTCTATATCTAGACTACAGACTATATAAATATTTATATACTATAAAAATAAGACTGAAGACTGGTGATATCTTCAAAATAATCTTGGGAGGTTGCAAGATCAAAAGGCACAAAAGGCAGGGGCTCTATGATTCACATGGGGAAAAGAAAGTCAATTGAGTCAAAGTAAGTATGTCACAAATACTTAATTAAAAAGTTCACTATTCTGTATGAAGTTGGACACATCACTGTCACACATCAGCTTCATAGTTCCTGTACTAGATCTAGATTAGATATCTAGATTTACAGTTCTACACTAACTTAAGTCAGTGTTTCAGGATCATCACCCAACACAACACCAACCCCCCAAGTGAAGTCATTTTTGAACTAGACTAAGACAAGACTCGACTTTTAAATTAATAATTAAACAATTATGTTTTGCATGCGTCGATAGCAACACAAACTGTTTGGCTCACCTGCCCATGATTTTAATGTAAAAAAAAAGACTTAAAAAGTAATGTATAATTAAATAAATTAGAAAGCGACTAGATTTCTAGTCTAAATCTTGATGTTTGTAAACAGCATTATTTCACGTGTCCGGTTCCCTCCTCTTCTATAAATAGATTTTCCCACCAAGACATGTTAACTTAGCGAAACAAATTCGCTTAAAACATCTAGATTTGTAATAATAAACAATAAATTGCTGTTTTTTTTAAATCTTTTATCCAATAGAAATTAAAGAAAAAATATATATTTAGTTAAAAGCCTTTAAGTTTGTTTAAATAAAGAAGGCACTACTAGTTCAAATAATTTCAAAATAAAAACACGGATTTTTAATGTCGTTAAATTTGATTTTATTAGCCTGGCTCAGTCTAGATTTTAGATCTAGAATCTAGATTAAATCTTTTGACAATTTTGTAGATTCAAAGTCATACAAAAAATAATGCATACTTAACTACTAGGATTACATTACAAGGAACTTGATTGGGGGGGGGGGGGATAAAAAAAGAGACGTAGAATTAATTCGATCTAAAATAAATCTACCTACATATGTTTACTTCTTTTACTTTTAGTAGAATATATTATAGACTCTACTACGTTTTTTTTTGTTGTTGTAAAGATGTGTTAGCTAAAATTAGTAAAATTGCGTTGTCATTTTAAGATTAGTTAGTATGTATTGTGTGTATTGATAGATCCTAAATATGATCTATTTAGGCGTGTTGTTGCATTTAAATAAATAAGTTGGCCTCCCTATTATGGGTTACCCATAAATGACGCAACGTTTGTTTTTTGTTTTTTAACGATTTTCATACTGTTAACAGTGTCTGTCCCCCCCCCCCCCCCCCCCCCCCCCCCCCCCGAAAATGTTAGGCGCCTTCCCTCCCCCCGGCGAAAAAGGCCTGGAAGAAATACTGCTCGCTCCCCTTCGTCACACATATCCCCTCACACCTCCACCTAGAACTATCCAACTAGCCTATCCATCTAATTATATTACATTTTACAGAAACAGTCTTTTAAAACTAAAAACTCGCTACAGTTCAGTTTGTAATATTACTTTCGATTTAAAATGTAAAAAAAAAAGTGTCGTCGCGCTTAATGCCCCCCCCCCCTCCTTCCCCATTAATTGTGTGACGTAGTTTATGGACGACCCCTTAAACATTAATTTAGTATATTATTTAATTTAAACTAGATCTAGGGCCTAACAGTAGGCTACACTAACAGGAGAGAACAGTGGACTAGCCTATCCTATTACGACATTGTCTTGGTATCTGTTTTCGCGCTAAAAACAAATGTAAATCTATTTCCTGTTCTCTCCTTTCATTTGTTTACAGTGGCAGTTTTCGTACTTTCCCTCTCGTAAAATGGCAGGAAGAAATGTTAGATTCGAATATGATGTAGGAGAGATTGTTCTATGCTTTGAACCAGATGCAACTAAAGCTAGAGTTTTGTATGATGCTAAAGTAAGGGTTCATATTTTCGCTCCATTGTTAAGTTTTTGCAATGGTGAGAATGGAGTGGAAACTTCAACTCAATTTTTTTCAGCTTTTAATAGTTTTAATTTAAGATTTTCTGGTCTTGACAACACAAAGATTTGATTAAGACTTTGTTGCCTAGATCTAAATCTAGATCTAGTAATTTTTGCCCAGATAAGAATTAAGTAGAATCTCTGTGCTTTTAAGGAAGATTAATCTACAGTCTTCAGTGAGTTAGTTTAGAGTTGTTTGACGAGTCAAAATTGGGGTAGATATATCTAGAATAGGTTGTTGCTTGACCTACTTTTTGTTACCGCTGTCATGTTTATAATGGCAGCCAAAAATGACGATATCGTGATTCAGTTTTTTAACTTATAATTGTTATTTTTGTGTATTATTTAACGATACCGGTCTAATTTTAAAAACAACAATGGACGATTAGTGTTTGATGCTTGATTTCTATGTGTATCTTTTTTTGTCTAATTGCTGAGAATATCGAGCAGAACACAATACAAGTAAGCAAAACATGAATTGCTGTACTTTCTATTGTTCTAAACTTATTGAAAATATATCTTAACTAGGCCTATAGAAAATTTTAACTTGCTTTCTACTAAACTAATGTCATTTGAATGGGGAGAAATCTAGCAGACGACACATACCTGCTGAACTGCAGTGAATGGTCAGTCGCATCACAAAAACATGCATAACAAACTAACCTATGCATCACTGAAAATCAGTCTTATCATTGTAGCCATTTAAAAACTACCGTGTTTTTTCACAAATCATTTTGTAGGCTACCGATCAAATTGGATAAATAAAATTGGTATCAAATTAATTGTAAATAAATGTAGTTTGTAATTTTTAAAGTCATCATGAACAATAATGAAGTTTAAAATTAAAATCTTAGGCGACACCCTAATCTAGAATCTACAAATACAATCTGTCTGTTCTAGATTGCAGCAATTTAGATCCCCATTTTACAACAGAATTCTGTTTATGCCACTATTTTGTGGCCCAGGATGGATTAGGACTACTTAATGTGTACTTGTGCACTTTCACTATATTCTACCAATTTACTCTCTTTATCTGAAATTGTAATGCTAAATTTCTTTATTTTAAAATCTATTAGGTGGTGGAGCAAAGGTTTGTTAAAGATGCGAATGGGAAAAAGAAACCAGCTTACGTTGTCCACTTTCAAGGCTGGAATAGCAGGTTAACTACTAAAGATTATTAAAATATATGTAGACCTATTTATGAGTGTTCAAATGTTATCAATGTTTTATTTTATAATTATAACAAAGGACTACTTAAATATAATTATATTTACCATGGGTCTTTATTTGGAATACAATATAAAACTTGTAATTTAACTAAGGAAGAATACATAGGTCTATAATTTTAATTGCTGACAACAGGAACAGGTTGAGCATCAGATTTTTATAGAGGTCTAAAGAAATGCAGTATGGTGTTTTCATTTACCCAACAGTACCTAATTAATTGTATCAATAATTATAAATTTTATTATGCTTTGGTTTCCAATTTTAAAAAATACTACTAATAAACCCTATGTTTTATTTTTTTAAATATTTAAATACCTACTTTACAACAATTAAAGAGAGTTGTTTATCTCGAAATTTAGCTGGGACCGACAAGTTGGTGAGCACTACCTGCTGAGGAACACAGATGAAAACAGGGAGCTGATGAGAAAACTGGCAGAAACTGCCAAAAAATTGTAAGCTGCCTCGACTTTAGTCTTATCTTACATTAGATATATTTAACTTATAGTTTTTTATTTTTTTGTTTGGTAGTAGTAGTAGCCTGTTGCCCACCTGTGATTTTATCTATTATAATTTTTTTTTAAAATTTGTATTTGCAGTAGCCGCAAAAATAGCCAAAGACGTCGGAAGATCAATGGCATCTTGCATGAAGCATTTGGGGGAGCACCGCCAGAGTTTGACACCATCAGTGAAAGTGAGGAGTCTGAAGAGGAATCTGATTCTGGCAGGGTAAATCAAAGTTTTTAACATTGTTTACTAGTGACAATTTCAAAACTCCTCCCACCAACGCAGTGAATATTTCGTAGAAAGTGGTTTGCTGTTCATAAACTAAAAAGAGTGATCATACTAAGTTTTGCAAAATCAGTCTTTCCAACCTTTGATAAAAATAGTCCTGTTAAAAAATTGTATTAATAGGTTTATACCTATTAATACAATTTTTGTTATGATTTTATAAACATCCTGTTATTTCAATAAACAAATGCAACAAAATGCTAATTTAAAAGAAAAAATTTCTTCTCTAGAAAATAGCCAGAGTTAAAACAGGACCAGAAAGAAAGAGACAGGTAAGTGTTTCATTTTTTTAATCACGTTTTACAGTTACCCAATTTGTTTGTTATAAATAATGCCCACATATAATCATTGTAGATTATTTTAAGACAGCACATATTTTATAAACAACAATTATAAATGAAATTTTCAAATGGTTCATTTTTTAGCTTTCATGTGAAAAAAATGTTTATACTGCATGAATGAAAAGATAATTTATGTCCCCCATAAATACTTTCAGAAAACTAGCATTGTGGAGTTTGAAATGCCTGACAGTTTAAAAGTTCAGCTGGAGGATGATTATTTTCTCATCAACAAAAAGAACAAGGTTTGATTAACATATTTCTCGTTCTGACACATTTACGTTAACATTTCTCCATGATATATATATTATACCTATAAAAATCTGTCATTATGCATACATATCTATAGTTATTAATTAGCATACATTTTATATCAATACACAACTTTTTAATTTTCTTTTTTTTTGTGTGCTAAGGAGAGACCTTTTTACATTTCTAATTGTGAGAACTGTCTTTATCTTTTCTAAATGTTTTACTACCACAGCTTACTCGCATACCAGCCAAGCCTTGCATTCTAGACATCCTGGAGAGCTTCATGAAGACATTCTGTGTAAACTACCTGTGTGATCCTTCAGGTGGTCGGGAGAAAACTCGAACAAGTAGCAGCAAACACACCTTAAAGTGTCCGCCTGATAAGTGGTCAGTGATGTCACTTTCTAAACTATGTGTACAGAGTAATGTCCCTTGCTAAAATTGTATTGTACAGTATGCTTATCCTATTTAAAACTTAAATATACCAATGTTTGGGTGTTTTGCTTACTGGATAAATATTTTGCTTATTTATTAATCTTTAAAAAAAAAACTTAATAATGACTAGTATTTCATGTGCAGATATTGAATAAGCTTGAAGAAAACAAAAAACTTACTGTATGAGAATAAATTGTTGACCTTTTTTTTTATCTCACCAGTGTATCTCTGTGTAAAGAGTTTGTAGACAGCCTTCGGATCATCTTTGACTTCACCCTACCCATCATCCTCCTGTACGCAGCTGAGCAACAGCAGTACGAAACAGCAATGAAAGACATCAAACATTCAGACCTACATGCTAAAGAAAAAGAAGTGTTAGTTAAATTTTTTTAGATGTAGTTGTAAGATATGATTTAAGATGCATGAAGGGAAAATAGTTCTTTTAATAAGCAGTCAATCTGTTGTGTGGGTTATACCATCCTACACCAAGGGTTATGGGATCAAGAGGTTGGGTGGTAAAGCGCTTGACTGCTAACCCAAAAGTCGTGAGTTCTGATCTCGATTCATACTTGAGTCTTTCTGGAAAGTAACGCTGACCACACCATCTCTTAACATGCCAAAGTCAAGAAACATAAACTCTACTTCATCTGCCGTTAACATCATAGGTTGCGTATAAGTAGAAAAGCTCTATACATTTTATTTGTCAATTTTATGCTTTTTAAAATCATAAATTTATTTGCAATACGAGTTTCTTTTAAATCAGAATCAATCAGATATTATTTTCTACCTTAAAGTTTTGTTATGATTAGAGTTTGTTTTAATATTGAATGTTCATCTTACAACCAGGGCGTCATCGTCGTCTTCATCATCTGAGCTCCCCCAGAAAGGGACACCCAACTCAAACTGCAAAACTGAGCGGGCAACCCGGCAGCATCACCATCAATCACCCTCCTCCCCATCAGCGGCGGAGCCATCGTTCCGTCGCATCACCAGACGCAGTCTGCACGAAACCACCAAAGCCGACAAGAACAATTTAAAATCAAAACCGTCCACTTCCTCTAACTCAGCCGACCACAGGAACAGCAAACACTCGGAACATTCTCCGCCCAAAACCCCGCATCCCCCGGACGAGCCGGTCATCCCCATAGCGTCACGGACGCGGCGGAGAGCCCAGTTTGAGGTGGTGGAGTTGTCCAGCGGTATTATCATCAAACAGGAACCTGTTAGTGAGAATGACATGAACACAGTACTGGAGTTGCCTGGTACAAGTCAGGTAGGGGCATGTGATACATATTGTAGTTGTATTCATTTATACATTATCACTGGTTTCATTAATACATTGTAGTAGTGCTTATTGATGCATTATAACTGATTTTATCACTATGTTGTAACTTATATTATCAACATATTTTAACTAATGTTACAAATAGATTGTAACTGTGTTCATTAGTACATTAATAGTTATATACATCAATAAATGGTAGCTGTATACATAAATACATTGTAGCTTCTTCTTTCTTAATTGTAATATTGTATGACATTTCCCCAACACATTTAAGTATTATGTGTCAACATTTTGAGGGCCGTATTGTCCCTTAACTCCAACTCCACCCTGCTTTTCTTTCTTGATTTGCTTCTATAGCCTCTGTTCACCCAAGAACAATCTGTAGACAGTATTTTTTTCATAATTTTTGAGTTGTCTTTCCTTGATGCATTGTTGTCTCCCAAGCTAACAAGCCTCATTTGCCTGGGGTCCGAACTCATTATTTTTGGAGATAGCAATCATTAGCTGTCCCACCTGACTACACCGTCCATTGTAGCTGCTCCCATCAAAACATTGTTTTATATACATCAATCAATAGGAGCTGTATTCATAAACACATTGTATTTGTATTCATCAAGTCCAAGTTGTAAAAAATGTTGCAGACTTAATACTCTATGTGATACTAATATTATTTTTTCAAATTTTTTTTTAGCATGAACTGTATCACAGTAATGGACAGGAAGTGGCCTGTAGCGCTGCTGGTACTGAGAGCTTGACCCTGGGCTCGTCTAAAGGACGGGAAGACGCCATGGACAGAATTCTTGGCTGGCAGCTGTTGCCTCAAGAAATTCGGACGAACGGGCCAGTCACACCATCACAAATTTATGGGACAGTCCATTTACTGAGGATGTTTGGTAATATTTTGCTTGTTTTTTTTTTTTATGTAAAAAATTTGTTATCAGTTTGTTGTAAATGTTTGGTGTTGTTTTTGTTTACTGTAAATGCTTGGAAATAATTTTGGTTGTTGTATACTAGAAATGTTTATTAACCATTAATGTCCCATTCATTCTACCAAAACTCCACCCATGACGGCCCAATGTAAGGAGAATAACTCTGTATGATCAAGTGAATAGTTTCACAAAATATTTGTTTTTGTCTAAATGAAATTGAAAATTAAGATAAAAACTACTGCTTAATGTTGGGAATAAACCTGGCTTTCCAACAGTATTAAATAGAATATATTATATTCGGTAAAAGTACAGTATAAAAATAAAAAATGTCGGAGAAAATTCAAAACAGGTCATTTTCGGTAGTCAACTTTATTTATTTTTGTCTAAACAACTATGCATCGAATTTAACACTTAAATATCAATTTGGTTATGTTTAACATATATAATTCATAAAATACATGCCTAGATACGTTTAGAGGCATTATTTTTATTTATTTTTAATATTAAATCTACTAAAAATACGACAGATGAGTCGAAAATTTCGAGATATAAAGAAACTATTATTTTTTATCTTTCAAAAGCGCCATTGAAATTATAAGACCGGAAAAGGATGCTGAAACCATCCGACTTCCTGTTTAGTTAAAAATTAGGATTTGTAGACCAAATTTTAATGAAACAAATTTAATTTTTCTATGCGTATTGTAAGCGGGCGGCAGCGGGCGTTACGGGACATTAACGGTGTCGGGCGGCAGCGGGCGTTACGGGACATTAATGGTTAATGTTCTGTTAGTTTTTACTGTAAAAATTGATTTTTGTTTGTTGTAAATTAAATGTGTACTATGTTTAAATTTTGTTTACAGTAAATGTTTTGCTGTGTAATGAAACAAATTCTGTGGCATTTGTTATATTTTGTTAGCTGTAAATATTTTATAACTTGTGTTTTATTATTTAATGTAAATACTTGGTTAATTGTTGATTGTAAATATTTGCTATAAAAATCTGGTAACAGTTGTGTTGTGTTGCAGATGCTTTTAGTATTATTTTTTTCTTTTACATTAAGAGCTTGCTAATTTTGTGTCATCTTTTAATTTAATATGCAAGAAATTATTAATTTGACCAAGTTGAAGTTGATAGAAGTATTACTCTCTACACTACATTGTGTTCTGTTATAATTTTTTTCCAATATTTTAGTAACTATTTCAGTCTAATCATTTCTATAAATTAATTTCTTTTTTTTCCCAGTAAAGTTGCCTGAACTACTGAAGAAGATGCACATGAAAGATGTTCAGCTACAGATTATTATCAAATTTATTCACCACTGTTTGCAGTAAGTTCTGTCAACATCGTGTTCAACTTCTTAACATTTCAGCCATTTTCATTTTAACAACGTCGTTATTTTATTGAATTTTTTTTTTCCTCAGATATCTGGTTGATCATCAAAGTGAGCTGTTCCATGACAGTACGTACATTAAGGCATAGAGTATTTCATATAAGGCAAGAATCATATGTTTATCAAGGCATTGCTTTGTACAGGCACCAACCAAGGCACAGCCGTGTACGTATGCATTAAGGCACAGCTAGGTGTATAAATCATTTGTGTATCTGTATGTACATCAATTTAAAGCAGAGCTGTGTATGTACTCATTGTTGTATACATACATCAATTAATGTTTATTAATTAAAAGCATCTGTATATGTACATCAGTTAAGCCATATATGTGTGTTACTGTAAAATCCTGCCTCTGTTATTATTTTCAACATGGTATATTAGCCTCATAATACATGCCATTTTAGATGAGTGGAATTTGAATCTTCTATAAATAAATAGAAATATCTATAAAATTGAAAGTTAAGTAACATTTATACATCTATGTAGATCATTTAAAGTAACAACCACTGATTAGGTGCTGCCATTAACTGGAATTTATAGGAAGTAAAACTATTTATGGGACGGCGGGGCCTAGCGGTGGAGAGCTACACTGCTAACCTGAAAGTCTCTAGTTCGAAATCAAATTAAGTCTATAGAACATCCCTGAGTCCACCCAACTCTGACGGGCACCAAACTCAAGCAAAAGAAAGTATAGTACTAACCACACTACACACTTGTCCCATGGACTGTCAGGTTCGAAAAGGGAACTTTACTTTTAAAACTATTTTTTTAAAAACCCATACGATCCAACAAATAATGTGTCAATCTTTGGTCTAGAACAAATAATTTAAGCAGGTAAACAACCAACCATTTAAAATATATCTCAATGATGTTTTTTTTCTTTAAGGTGTAAATATAAATCTTTGAATTGCCTCATCCTTAAATATCAAATCTAAAAATTGGAAACCGTATACAATCAGTTCATTGTTGCCATTTTATGTATACATTGTTTCAGTGCCCACCATGTTTACTTGATGCAAAAAGTGTAAAAAAAAATAATTCACATTTGTATTGCTTTCTTTTTGTCAGATTAATGTTACAGGCTTTAGTTTCAGAAAACAATAACCCAATTTAAAAATAGCTTGGTAAAATCTAATATTTTTAAAATACTATTTTAAAATAAAAAAATTATTTCCTTTTTGCCCCTTTTAAAAAAAATTATGTGATCTAAAAACGAAAATGCTTTGATTGAAGTTTATTAATATACTTAATTTTCTATCAGTAGTAATTATATTAAAACTTACCTGGAAAATTTTCTATCTGCATTTTGGAAGATAAAATTCTGTGGTAATTTTTAGTTAATGCTGTAATGTATTATAAATATGATTCTTATATAAATAATAAAGAATTTGCTTGTATTGTTTGTAAATATCTACTGTATTTAATGTTGTTATATAAGGCACAGCAACACCCTATTTTTGTTGCAGTAAGTTAAGTGTTGCAAACATGCTAATCAATTATATTTTTAAAACATTGAATATAAAAGATTGTTTCATTAAATGCTTGTCAACTTTTATAAAAGTTAAGCCCAAGCTGTATCAGCTTGCAGATAGCTCTACATCATTTTAAACTGTTTCATATTCATTGATGTTAAATACTAGAAATTCATCAAAATTTCATGTTTACTATTCATTGCGATGAAATCAAAGATAAAGTGTTTGGACTTCTCATGTACATCTTTTAAATTAATGTATGTTGTAATGGCAAGTAAATGATGTAATTCATCTGATTCACTGGTCCAAAATGTAATCTGTTATACAGCTAATTCAAGATGTTTTTATATTATCTTGAGCTGTTTATTAATTTTTATTCTGTAATTTTTTTTTAAATATTTTCATTTAACCATGTCGGTTTGTGAGTGTAATGTAGTGATTCACTTACAAATTATAGGTTCTGAGTTCAAATCATGGTTACCTAACTGGTATTAAGTATGGCAGTGGTATACTTCTGTCCATCTTTGTTAATTGAAATCAGTCATGAAGCTAGCTATACTAAATGTAATTTTTTTCATTACTTCTAACTGGTTGGTTATAGCATTTTACATTTAATAACATCCCCCTGAGTATAATTTTCTATTGAATTGGATCTAAGCTTCCCCTCCCCTCACTAAGCAGATAAAACCAATTTTACCCATATAATCACTATTCAAAAAATGTCTTTAACTACTTTAGTTAGTAAATATAATTAACCCAACACCATAATATTTAAAAATATTTTCCTAATTGAATTTTTTTTTAACTTCAGTAACAAATTTCGTACTGATAACAATTATAAAATGTGATTTTTTTATTATTTAACACCACAACTAAATACTTTACTTGCTTTTAAAAATTTTAGATTTTTTTAAAAGACTCAAGTGTATTTTACATAATTAAATGTAGCCTATGTATTTAAGAAATAATTGAGGACAGCTACAGGAAAAAAAAAAGAAAACATTATTTCTATATTTTGGTTTTTTAAATTAACTTTTAAATTTATTTTTTGTATTTATCGCAATATTTCCACAACAAAAGTATTTTCCTTTTTTTTTCTTCTAAACATCTTGACAAAATTTAATGAATTGAATATGCAGAATTTCAACAGCGCATGTACAGTGGGTGGGTTTTAAAAATTGTATTGCTTTAAGTTTGTTGAAATAAGACATGGGTCATACAACTGTTATCTCTGTTTTAGTCAGTGGCATTGCCTATTCATCCTTCTTCATATTTATGGATGCATGCTATTAAATAAAATTAATAGTCTTGAATCTGTTCTGTTTACATTTATTTTCTTTGGTCTAAATGGCTCATTATATGTTTCATGGTCTACTGTCGCTATCTAAAGAACCTTGTGATCTTGAGTTTATCTAGGAGATTATGAAGGTGATTTGGCCTAGTACTAACCCTGTTGACTGGGGTAAAAGAATTATTTACCCGCTCTCAGCTATCTGAAAGGATGTAGTATTTTTAGTTTCTGAAAATAAAATGCCTGGTAAATAAATTTCTTTAAAGAGAAAAAAAAAATACAGAAATCAATGTTACATATAAAACACAATGAATATTTATTCACTTTCAATTGGTACATTTGGTTGAGAAGATACAAAACAAAAACTGACTACAATTTCAAGCAATAAATGTCTGGTCTGTAATGATTACAAAAAAAACAAAATAAAAATGATCATCGAAGCAGGCATGTACATGGGCCACCCATGGGCACAGCAACAGACATTACACAGAAATAAATAAATACATACGAAAATTTAATGAACAATATTCAGCTAAGTAACATTTTAATTTAAAAAATCAGCATTGAAATCAAGATTAATTTCTTTTGACACGTGAAGTTGGTTCTTGTTAGTTAAATTTATTCCACATTTAAATTAAATTACAGTGCAAAAAATAGTTACAGGTGAAAGAGAGAAAACATTTAATTTATTTTAAAAACTAAAAAAAAAAAAATCACATTTTATTCAATGAAGGATATTTTTAAAACAATCACCACACTGACCTAAAATTTCAAATTACATGAGTAGAAAAAAAAAATTATTTGACAGTACAACAAAGGCAGGAACCAATGTCAGAAAAATAGAGTTACAGTGTGGTTAACTTTGGGGAGGTTCTCAAACTGACAGTCTGTTAGCAGGCATGGAAGTGAGGGAAACAGCTGCTCCAGAACAGGTAAGGAGAACCTTCTATCCGGCTTCATCACATTGAATAAATTTATATCAAAACAACTCATCAACATTAACTACATACATTAAATTAAAAACTAAGAATTAAAATATAAGAAATAATTTTTTTAAAGTTTGAAATTTAAAAAAAAATTAGTTATAAATGCATTTTTGCTACATTAATAGCCAAGTAGTAGGCCTACACATTACAACTAAAGCTAGTAATTTAAAATTTTCAGAAAAGATTTTATTAAACAAAATAACTGCTACTATCACTTTATATAAAAGATAAAACTAACAACAGCTTCTTACAAAATAGATGGGAACTAAACACATATTTTGATAACAAGTCAATTTGTACTAATATATTTACAACATACAGACGGTTATGCCAGATTTTTTTCTGCACTTCCATCAGAGAACAATGATTGATCACAAATATATTTATACCAATATTTTTTGCCATTTTTAAATGTGATTTTTCAACAAGTTTGATTTTTTAAAATCTTTTTAAGTTGTATAAAAATGTTAGAAAATTAACAGTTAAAATTTTGTGTTGAACAATTTTAAATTTAAAGCTAAAATAAAAGTAGAATAAAATGTATGAAAATGGTGGGATTGTCTAATAAGCAAGAAATTGAAGCCTCAGTTTTAATTTGGAGATTACTACTGATCTAGTACATCAATTTCTGCTTTAAAAACCTCAAACTATGAATTTAAGAAAATAATTGTATGTGTTATTAGAAATATACAGATTATAGTTACTACATTCCTAGCAGTACAAAACTTATACACATACAATAGTAATCTTAAGAATTATTTATTTATACAAATAAATACAGCTAACTATTCCAGTAAATATTTCAATGCCTAAGAAACTCAATTTTTTTAATTTATCATTTAAAAAAAAAGTTGAAATATTTTCAAGAAAAAAAAACTGTTAACTAACAAGAATTATTATTAAAATAGAATGCGTCAGCACTCCAGATGGAGTATAAAATATTATGATCAGGATTTTTCAAAAGAAATCTTGAAGCAAATGATGATGAGAACAAATGATTCAGGTTTATGAAAAATCAGTTTTCTGTGCGCAAAAAAAAACAAAAAAAAACAAAAAACAACTGATCAGCGCTGACTACTCATAAATTTTGAATTTGATGAACACAAGTAACAGACTCATACATTAAACAAAATTTACAAACTATTTAGATGCAACTTGACACCATAATTTATTTTTTTTGTCAATCAAGTAGATAAGATTAAAAAAACAACTTTTTTTTTCATTTATTCACTTCACAAAAACTTACACAATTCACAATGGAATTTATAAATACAAAAATGTATTGCACATAAACAGATAACGCAAGACAAACATGAAAACTACACTGTGTCAATATTAAGGACTATTTTAACAGCACAATTAATTTGTTTTAAATCAAAAATTTACTTTCAAACATTAGTCTCTTAGCTTGATGAATCAAAAAGGAACAAATATAATACAGACTCAAATATACCTTTTACCATCCACATTTAAAAACTCCAAATCAATGATAAGTTAACACTTAAAGAGATAGTAAACAAGAACTATTTTTTTCTAAAATGATCCTAGAAAGAGAAGTGTTTTTTTTTTTTATATAATTTCATAACAGGCACGTACAAGAAACAAATCTTCATACCACAGAAGGTTGAATAACTATTTAATAACATACCCTGCCATAAGAATGCTGAAAGACTATTTTTATTTTCAATTTGTTATATGTTCTAAATGTTACTTCTAATTTTTCATGTAATATCATATCTTTTAAATGTTAATTCTAATTTCTCATGTAATTTTTCAAATGTTCTGAATGATAATTCTAATCCTCATGCTATCAGGAAAAAACAAATAAATAAATTGTTCCCTTCTATTTGAATCCATGCAACCACTGCCCATCTGTGTTGTTTATTAAATTGATCTATTGAGCATTGAAGTTTTATTTTATACACTCCACAATAGCTCTCTATTCACACAATTTTGGTGAACCATTTCACAACCAATGATAATAAAAATGTGAGAAATGTAATTCAGTGACTACACCCAGTAGCATGAGATCAGCGCAAATATAAAAAATTGATTTTAAAAAATTAACTTATGAAAACCCTTTTCATTATATTCATCAATTACAGAAGGATACAACATATAAAAAAAATATTTAATTTAAAAAAAATTTCTGTCACTTCCTATATATACATACATCAACAGAAATATATTTTTTTCTTCATTATCAGACAAATTCCCTGTATCTTGACTGAAAACAGACATTGGCTTTTCATGATGATGCTGATTTTAGCCTGTTAACTTTTAAAGTACAAATGCCTCAGTAGAAATTGTATAAACACCATAACAAATATAACATTGTTTAATTTTAAAGACAAACACACTAACATTTTTTTACATGTCAGACACTGGTTTTATAATGATGCTGATTTTTTACATCTTAACTTTCAAACTAAAAATGCTTCAGTCTATAAACACATTAATTAAAAAACAAATACTACATAGCCCTAGGTTTCTAAAAAATATAAAAGGCAAATATATAGTTTATATTGTATTGACCTTGTTTATGGTTTTTAATTTAAAAAATAGCTCTGAAAATTGTCCATCTCATTGATATGTTTTTACATAAAAACATTTTCTATAGATTATTGGACATTTTTTATCATCAACCATATTTTTTCCACATCTTTGGCATTAGAATTGGTAAAGTGAAAAAAAAAATGAATTAATACACACGGAACTAGACTCAAAAGATATTTTACATGTGAGATTTTAATACAACAATCAGTACTTTAAAAACAGCACAAATAAAAAATATCCATTCTTCTCATATCCAAATCACTTGTACACATTCAACATGGAAAGACAATCCTTATATCATTGTCTGTCCCTTGGTTCAATAGTACATTATTTTATTCCATTCCAATAACAAACCAGATATTCTTTTACATTCAAGCAATTAAAAATTATATTAAATCTAAAACTTGAAGTCAGTCTCCATTCTTGCATTGTTTATCCGTGTTCCATCCATCAATAGTTAAACATGATTCAGATCCGTATGTCACAACTTCCTCTATCCAGTTCCGAGAATTTAGGAAATAATTTTTTAGAACCAGTAGATTTTAAAAAAAAATGAAGTTAAAAAACACATGAATTCTTGGGTATTTACAGCTTTTAAATATCAGATTACGACTGTGCTTGTGTGTACCTGTCAGTTCACACCTGCTTTAGTGTGTTCATGTCACTTACACCTGTACCTGTGTGTACGTGTCACTTCACACCTGTGTTTGTGTGTTCATGTCAGTTCACACCCGTGTTTGTGTGTGCATGTCATCTCACACTTGTACCTGTGTGTACCTGTCATTTCACACCTGTGTTTGTGTGTGCATGTGCTCCCGGTTTAAAGGTGTGTTCTCGTCATCACTGTCACTAAGGTTAACCTCGCTGTCGTCAATCTCGCACAGCCCCGAGATATCAGAGCAGGAGGCGTTGGACGTGAACCCACCCATAGACATGCTCATGTCGTCAATGAAAGAGGTGCGGGATGGCGGCTCCTGATCTGTGGTGTATCCGTCCGTCTGATACCCAGGGGTCATGAACTCTTTTGGAGGTCGCAAGGGGACATAACCCTCTAACGAGTTCGCTGAAGCGCGATTTGGGTTGCTGCTCCTAGGGGTGCCATACGCGTACCTAGCACCTTCCGTGTTTTCGTCCTCGGTGAGTGGGTCAAGGTCGAGTTCTTGATGAGATAAGTTGTAGTTGGGTAGGTAATGGTTAGGGTGAATGTTCAGGCTGGCAGGAAGTTCGTAACTGTCGTTGAGCTCCTGTAGCAGTTGCTCGTATTTCGGGTGTTCAGCGTAGCTCGGGGGAAGCTCGTCACGATCGTACGGTTCATTCTCAGCGTACTCTGAATCTCCGACGTACTCTGAATCTTCAAAATAATCATCCACGGCTAGACTGGAGATGACATTGTCATCGTCATCATCATCATCGTTTAGGTTAATAGGGTCGATGTTGTTCCTTCTCTGTTCCTCAGTGAGGAGGGGACTGTCGTCGTCACCGTTGTAAATAGCCATGGTAGTGACGTTGTCGTCGAAGTTGTCAGCGTTGGCATTGCAGTCGTCGCTTGGCTGTGAGGAAGAAGGGGAGTCCAAAATTTCATTGGTTGGAAGTTCGGATATATTCGGCATGGATGGACCCGGAGCCCAGTCGGATGTGTCCCAATGGTAACCTGAGATTAAAAAAACAAGAATGTTAGTCACATGACAGTCACATGACTTTAATCACATGATATATAGTTTACAACTGAAAACAAATGTTAAAGAAGGTTCAATACCGTACACATTTTACATTAACTTTTAAAATAAAATTTTTTTAGTACTAAAGTTGCTTTAAGGAAAAAACTCAGAAAGACTACAAGTTCAAATTAACAAGACTAAAGGTCTGAGTGTGAATCCTGACTACTACTATGATACACCTAACACAAAACTATAGCAGTAAGCTTAGTGAACTGATACTAAAAATATAAATATGATAACTAACTTTCTTATCACCAATGATTAAATTAAAAAAGAAATTAGTAGAAATTAGTAACAGTTTTAATAAATAAATTATTAGTATTAGACATAATGCAATTTTTTTTAACAATTTGGATTTTTAAAAAATATAAATGTAAATATTATGTTAAGAAACTTTTTTATTAATAAAACAAACAAATCATTATTTTAGTATTATTCAAATAGATTATTAATCTTTATACATAAGGTACATGCAATAATGTAATACGTTAACTCAAACATTACGATGAATATATGTGAAGCAACACAGTTAACCGTTGCGAATTGAATGTTATGTTACATATAATTTTTTTAACAGTATGTTTTATCATTAGGTTAAAAAGAACAACATAATGACATGCAACATTGTTGAGATAAAACAGAAAAGACATGCATTCTTTGCTGTATTTTTAAGTTGCACCAGTTCTTTCCCTTACTTATTTTTTTTTTCCTTTTAATACAGATATTTTGAATGACAATTTAAGTAATTTGCAAAACTGCTAGAAAAAGGTCATATTTAAACTTTTCTTAGGCACAACTCAAACAATACTTAAAGCCCACTACCCGACAAAATAAGAAATTAAAAATAACTATCAAGCATGGCTTAAACAGATCTATTGAATTCCTGTCTTTACAGCTGAATCTAAATCTTTTGACAATATAGTTTTTAAAAAGAATGATTAAACAGACTTGAGAATAAAACAATATATAATAACCAATAGCACCAAACCAAAACAGCCACAGACTAAGCAAAAAGGAACTGTAGGATTTGTCTGAATACGCAGCAGGTGAAATCAGACATCAGCAGACGTGAAACTTCTTATAAGAAGTAATGTTTTTTTTTTTTTACTTAACTAGTGACTATAAGAAATTCTTTTCAACTTGAAACTAAAATCCACTAAAATAATATTTTCAGCAGTATACTTTTCAAAGCTTACAATAGCTGATAAAAGAGAGAGTTTGTTAGGAGTGTTAAAATAAAAATACAATAGAGTTGAATACAAATAAATGAGAGGATTAAAGTGAAGGGTTTTTATAAGCCTCAGCCCTTACTATAGTGGACGACACTTGGAGCTGAAAGAGAATAAACCATTTACAATAGATTTTAAAAAAATAACAAGCATGTTAGTGTATTATTTTTCTACAGTAGTTCTTCTCAATTTCTTTTCTGAAATCTTCTAGCTGGTTATCTGTTTTTCAGATATGCCAGCTCTTTTCGTCGCAAATTTTAAGAACTTGTAACTCACAATCTGTTTAAATAGTTTAAATAAAGTTTTAGGTTGGCTGTTTGAAAAATGCATTTAGTCAAGCCAAATTTAAAAAGGTAAGTAATTTCATTCAGTAGGTTATCTTCATGCATCTATTTTTGCATTCTTATAATTAAAATCACTTAAAGAAAAAGGATAAGTTTTCTTAATTTAACTCTGCTTGACAAAATATTTCCTAAATGATTAAATTTGTATTCCTTCCACCAAAGCCTATAACATAAATTTTATTTTAAAATTGACAGTTTATGTGAAGTACTTAACTTTGGTAAAAATATATTTACTAACAATGTAAAATTTAAATGAGAACTTTGTTTCTGAACTGATCACTAACATGTTTAGTTTTCATTAGAAAAAGCAAAAGCATTCACTAAAAAACTGATGCACTACTCACAAATAAAAAACTAGAGGCTAAACTGATTCTAACTTTCAAACAAAACAAATCAAAGTTCTACATCAGAACTCTGAGCTGTTATGAAGAAATGACAACAGAGCAATAAAAAAAAATCAGTATAAAATGTTATCATATATAAAGCCAACATTTAAATTCTATTTTAAAAAGTTTGTAGGTAAAAACAGAAAACAAATAACAAATATAGCAGTTAATCAACTTAAAGCTTTAAGAATTTTAAACAATAGCAGATTCACAGCCAAAAACAGAAAGATAGGTGCAGTTCAGATATATAACTAAAACAAGGTATATTTACTGAAAAAAAGATAGATTTGAATGGGTTGAAAATAAAGAAATTCTGACCAAACAAAAAAACTAAAAATGAAAATGTGCATCAATTCAAGAACAAAAGAAAATTTTTGGCTACATGTTTTTAAAAAACCTGGCCAACTAAGAAAAGAAACTCAAAACTGGAATGTGATTAAACTGAAAGTAAAGAACCAAATACATTTGAGTGTGTTACACAACAGTAACGGCTGTTGGTCAAGATACAACAGAGATTAGTACATGATGGAGAATACTGAACACATAAACAATCATGAGAGTATAGGAAGCTGAGTGGGACATGCCACATTGTCATAGAATTGTTGTGTACCTTTCCTCTTTCCTCGTCTGGCTGCTTAGTGTTCAAAGTGGGGTGAAAAAAAGTTTAATTTTTTTATTTCTTGTGTAAGAAAATTATTCTTAATTAAATTTTATTGCGTTAACAAAGTAGGCAAGTAGTTTTTTATTCTTAAAAAAAATATTTACAAAATCTAAAAATCTTTCTTTTTTAACAAACAATAGTTTTCAAAATCTGTTTTTACTGGTTTAACTCAAGCTATTTTGATTAAAAGGGATAAAAAAATAATTCAAAAGTCAAAAGGGGAGGGGGTTAATTTACTTTAATTGTTAAAAATATTATCAACCCTTGAACAAAATTAAAAAGTTCAAATAAAAGCAAGAAAAGGGAGAAAGCAATTACACTTCTGTAAACTCATTCATTCAACCTCAAGAAAATGTTAAGGAGGACTTAGGTTGGTTCTCTGAAGTGTATTCATTGTTTCACAAGTTAAGCACCAATAGCAATAAAAGGACAGCCAATTCAAACACATGTTGAAGCACTGGATTTGCAGTGCATGTTGAAAGTTTTCTCTTTTATTAATGACAGCTCAAGGAAAAAGAAACTTTTCACTTTGAATGAATGTTCAAAACAATTAACTCTCAGCATAGGTGTTTGTTTTGTTTTTTTCTCAAAAAGCTTACCATTCATATCATCCTCAGACTCTGATATCTGAAAGCTGCTGACTGAGCTGGTCTCACCTTGACCTCTGCCATATGACCTTGATTGGTTTATGGAAGGTGAAGGTTGAGGTGAGTGCAGGCCAGGCATCTGCTTGGCCAGTTTGTCATTCTGCTTCTTGTCTGCTGAAAGATGGTACACAGACTGATGCTATCTTTTGACCTCATAGTTTGAATTACTTTTGTAAAAGCATAATCTTATCTTAGTTTAATAATGTAAACTTTAAATTATATTAATGATTATTAAGACAAAACATCAATGAAATTTTCAATTATCCATAAAAATTTAGTAAAAAAATAATTACTGTTATAATTTTTCATTAGGGACTCAATGAATCCCTCACTGAAATTTCTAAGGTGTTTGGTTGTCTTTGCTTAAGTCATCCAAGTCAAAACTATTTAATTAGGTAATTAGTGTTATGTTTCTAACAACTAAACAAACCTTCAATGCAGTAACCAGTTAATTCAACTTATTTATGTTCAAATATTTTTAGTTGGAAATATAAATTATGTTTATCAAAACCTGACCAACCTTCCATGTAATTTTCCAGGATGTTTGGGTACTCAAACTCCCAGGGCGCCTTCTGTATGGAGTCAGACTCAGATGCTCTGGACGAAGGTGGTGGGGGCGTGTTCCTGATCATAAAGTGGGCGGGGTTTGTGTGACTAGGGTTGGTAAAAGCTTCCACGTACTGATTATATGTAGGAAACCGAATACCTGCATTGAGAGAAAACATTAGTTATGTGAGAACATATTACAAGATAAATATCAATGAAATATATGAACGTATAGTAAAAAATGTGATTAGATGTTAAAAACTGATAAAAGTATTATATGATTTATGATAAAAAACAATGTTGAATAATTAAATATATAACTAATTTATACAATTAAATAAATAACAAGCATAACAACTAGTACATGAGTTTTTTTACTTTATATATATTTAGCAGAATTACAATTTACATTACAACTTATTTCTATGTGCCCACATTTCATTTAGTCAATAGGTTTAAACAATATTTCTGTGTAAACTTATTTTATGTGCCCATATCCAATGAAATGATTAAATGATTCTATAAGATCATATTTAAAAAATGTATTACCATATTTAATAAGGTCATAAGGGTATTCTATGCCACCATATTTAAAGAAGTTTTTACATGACTACATTTTATGAAGTCATTACAAGACCATGTTTAATGAAGTTGTTACAAAACCATATTTAAAGAAGTTTTTACATGACTACATTTTATGAAGCCATTACAAGACTATGTTTAATGTAGTCGTTACATGGCTAAATTTAATGCAGTCGTTACATGGCTATATTTAATTTAGTCAATACGTGACCAAACGTAACTACCTGAGGTCTCTAGCTCATCTGCAGCACTACCGTAATTGCCAGCGGAGTCCAGATTATTCAACACATGCACAGAGTCGTGTGTGCTGGGGGTGTACGACGCCGGCCGGGTCGGGACCGGAGGGGGCACGGGTTGCAGTTGTTGTAGTTGCAGTGGGGGCTGGGATGGGAGGGAGTGGATGGCTTTGGACAGGTCTGGGTTGCTGAGCTTGCAGCGCTTGTCTTGCATGCTGCTGAGGAGGCCCTCGCTGCCACTCTCAGGCAGGCCGCAGTTTGTCCGGCGCCCACGCCAGCGTTCCCTCTGCCTGCGCTTGCACACTAGAATCAGGACTATGATCAAGACTATCAGGATGATTCCACTTACTGTGAAGAAAATAAAAAAAAAAAAATGAATTTAAGTTAATTAAACAATTACAAAAAAATTAAAATATAAAGTACAAGTTTAATACTAAATAAGGTTAAAAGCTATTTAAAGAGTTTCACCTAAAAAAAATAAATCACATACATTTTTTTAATAAAATAAAAAATTAAATCCAAGAAAATGCAGAGTATAATTGTTAACTAAATGAATGTAAAGTTTTTTCGGATGAACAAAAGATGTAAGAATACACGTACATCTGGGATTTATGGGATATTTACATGTGGAATAATAATAATGTTTGGGATATTGACATCTGGGATAATGATTAATAGGATATTAAGATATGGAGAGTGAAATGGGATATTAGCATCTGTGATTTTTAAAAAATCTAATAACTCTTCCAAAGGATCTCAAACTAAAGATGCTTACTTATAGGTACATAAATATGCCATTCATCCTTTGACTCTGTGATTCTCTCCGGCACCATCTGTTGAGGCTCCCTGTGCTCACAGTTCCTGCCGTGGAACTCTGCCGAGCAGTTGCACTGGTAACTGCCCCTGACATTGAGGCACATGGCGCCATTTAGACAAGGGGAAGAGAGGCATGGATCTGAAGGCTTGTCACAGTACAGGCCTGAGGAATGATGGGGAAAAATTTATTTTCTCTGCATACACTTGCTAAAACTTTCATTTACTTTTTTTTATCATTTTGTAAAATATATTTCTGAAAGTTGAAAAATTATTTTTAAAATAAATTTTATAAAATTGTTGGCGCCATAATTTTAAAATAATTCATGAATACTTCTATAATTGGTAGCCTGTAATTATAAAATTACATGCATAGTACTGCTTACGCATTTTCAAATAGAATACTTACATATTTTTCATTTATTTTGGCTTCTGCTTTATAAGTTAGTGGCTTTTACAAACACTTTAAAAAGTGTATCCACTTTTATTAACAACATCCCAAAAAATATATATTAATAACATTACTCTTTTTGTATAAATGTTATATTTATATTTTTTTAAAAATACATTTACTCATAAATTACACTTTGATGAATAGTATATTTCAACAAAGCTATGTTTATGGTGATGCACCTTCAGCAGGAAATACACATCAAAACACTGGGTTTTCCTTACCTTGGTACCCAGGCATACAGTCACAGAGCGGGGCAGTGGGGCCCTCTATACATGTGCCGCCATGCTTGCATGGGTTGGGCAGGCAGAACTTGCCATAGGTGCACCTAGCACCTTCCAGATTATCCTTACAGTAGCAGGAGTAGCTGTTGGGTCCATCCAAGTCAACCTCACACCGGCCTAGTTAGAAATAATATAGATATAACAATAAACGATTTTATTACACAAGGATATAATACAATATAATATATTCTGAATACTTGATTATACAACTTTTATAAAAATAAAACATTTATTAAAAATATACAAAGAGTATAATAAAACAAACAATTTACATTATTTAAAGAATCTTTTTTTTTTAAATATATAAAAGAATAACTTTAAAACCCATGAAATTAATTATGTAGATAAAAAAAAGTTTGAAAAAAAACTTTACCGCCATAGCTACATGGTGTGTCCAGGCATGGCTCTTGGTCCAGCTCACATTTCTCTCCCTTGTATCTAGCAGTACAGACACACACATAGGAATTTGGCCCTGTGTAGTTGCACCTTCCACCATTCAAACAAGGGTTTGTTCTGCACACTTCTATCAACACAAGTTATAAAATTGTTAAAACTACACTCTTCTCTTTAATACTTATTATTTCTTAACATTAAAATATAAATATATTTAAAACAACTACATATAAAATTTAATACATCAAAATCCTAAACAAATTTTTAATTTTTAATTCTTAAATATGAATATATTTAAAACAACTACAGATAAAATAGAATGCAACATCAAAATCTTAACAGTTTTTAACACGTTTTTCTTAACTCAGCTTCGCGTTTGTGGATTTGTTTGTTTGTTGTTAAAATTGACATCGAAAATTAGCCCACTTCTGATTGCTCTACAGATCTGAAATTTGGCATGCAGGCTACTTTCGCCTAACAATTTCAGATGCAATAAAAAAAACTAGCAATTAGAGACCATAATTAGCTTAATTTAATTACGCCCCAAGGACCATAAAATTGAGGACATGATTTCTAAAGATACCGACAAGACTGGAGGCCTATTGACACAGTTACTTCGGCCCCAATCGATGAGAGCGCGCTGGCCGTGATCATATAGTGGTTAGTACTTCACGTTGTGGCCGCGACAACCCAGGTTCGAATCCTGGTCGCTCAAGATTTTTAGTCCGTGTATTTATAAACACTTAGTCAAGTCATACTTAATCAAGTCATTAGATAAAGTAGAAAATAAACTATATAAAAAACTTTTTTAAAAACCACGTTTTTCATGTGTAGCAACGGACTAAAAAGGAGAAAATAAAATACTTAAAAAAAACTTTTTAAAAAACCACGTTTTTCTTGTGGACTAAAAAGTAGAAAATAAATTTTTCTTTTGTGCTTCCTCGAGCTGTGCAGATTCTTGTGATGACTGACAAAAAACGTGGGTCGGGCAGATGGGTCGGGAAATTTGATGGTGAACGTACCCACGTTTTTTGTCAGTCATCACAAGAATCTGCACAGCTCGAGGAAGCACAAAAGAAAAATTTATTTTCTACTTTTTAGTCCACAAGAAAAACGTGGTTTTTTAAAAAGTTTTTTTTAAGTATTTTATTATCTTTAAGGGCATGGGCGGGTGATGAAAATTAAAAAAACCAAAATGCTTATTTCTAAACCTAATGCTATAATATTTAGCATCTAGTTATGACTTAAAGAGTTAAATCTAAAAATAACAAAAGGGTAAAAAATGCCATGCCGTTTTCATGGTGATGGCGGCCATCTTAGATTTTATTTACATTTTTAACATAAGCATTTTGGTTTTCATCACCCTCCCATGCCCTTAAAGATAGTGGATACTATTTTGGTGGAGGGGGTGCAGTGGTTTTACCAGAATCCGGGGTGTAAAGAGGTGGGCTGTAGTCCTGGCAGTGGAACTCTATCTGGACAAACTCCAGGGCCAGAGCTATCCTGTTGTCTCCACTCAGAGGCAGGGGCACATCAAACACGTTGATGCCTTCCATGCAACCCTGGCAAAAACAAGACAATTTATTTAACAGCCAAACCAGAACACAATTTTTTAATGATGTTTTTGAATTTTTATTACTCTTTGACACTAGCTATTATATCAATTAATTTTTCTAGATTTTCTTAATGAAAATTCATTTTAATGCTAAACTGTTATTTAAATTTTTAAAAATCGTTACATTTTCACATTTTAAATCTATTTTACTGCTCATATTTTTTTTTCTAAATTAATTATTTTAAATACTCCTAATGCAGATAATTTCTACTGTTTAGGACTACTTCATTAAATTATAAATCAATTCTAAATTTTCATACCACAAATCTATTTGACTGCTAAACATTTTTGATAAAAGTAAATAACTATTTTAACTCTTCTTACCTCAAATCCTTGGCTGATGTCCTTATAACCTCCAGGAAACAAATCCACTTTAGCACCAAAGAAAATCTCCTCAGGGTCAATGTTTAGATCCGCCAGAGCCCCAGGGGCCACCCCCCTGGCCGTGTAAGCCGAGTCCAGTGCCAGCTCGGCATCTTTCCCGTTTCTGTCCAGCTGCACTGTGTGCCACTGGCCATCACTCAGATCCACTGGGATCCGAACCTGCCCCTCTCCGCTGCCGCAGTTGTACTTGTACACCAGATTTCCTCGTTCAATCTAACACAAAATTAAACCTTTTTCCATTACTATTGTAAAAATCTATTTTTAGAGACATAAATATGTGGATTTATTATGAAAATGTTGACACATTTACTGTCATGGGCCAACAGTAGTAACCAATTAGCTTCCAAAGGCTTAATTAGTTAATAAATAAATTTTTAAAATATTTATTTAAAACTTGTTGAAGATTTAATTTCCAAGAGACTAAACTTTGACCTTCACCTTGAGCATGCTGTAGTCTGCCTGGCCCTTGGCGTGCATCAGTACAGCTGTACGCTGTCTTGTACGCACTCTAAAGCTGAGTGAAAAACGTTTTTTGGTTGTGTGCTCCAGCCTCCATTTAGCATAACTTTTGCCAGCAAATGTCATTGGTCGTTCTGGAAATTTTATTATTAGATAATGAATCAAACAAGTTTAATGGTGAGATATAATACAGAAGAAATATTTATAGTTTCTGTTAAAAAATAGGCCTACCTAAATATAATAAAATATCAAAAACAGAAAGATTAGCTTTGTAAAGTCCTTACCTATAGGACATTTACTGCCACTGCATAAAGGTAATGTCTGTTCACAAAATTCTCCTGTTAGTCCTTCAGGACACTGACATATGTAATCTCTAAATCCATTCCTTATACAGATTTTGTTGGCTGAACATTTTTTGTCCCCACACTGAACTTCCCCACATTCTCCACCTGAAAAATAGGAAAAAAACATAATTGCCAGATTTTTAAAGAAATTGTTGCCAAGTTAAAACTATATTATTTGCTTCAGTGTAACATTACTGATTTGATTTAACTTATTACAAGTATAATATTTACGAGAGTTAATTTATAAGAACACAACCTATTTCTATACACCTAAATGTTCAAATTTAAAAAAAAATTTTATTAAAAAGATATTGCTGCCTTCAAATTTAAATAATTTAAAGAACGAAACCAATTTGTACATACCCAGGCATTCACACTTCTCATGGTACTGATGCCTTGCAGAAACAAAGACGCCTCCTTTCACCTGAACACTAACAACATTTTTAGCATCAAACTTGACTTCTCCAACACATGTGCCAGTCTGGCAAGAATCTTTAGCGCACCTGTCAGTAAAGATCTCCACAACTTTGGTCCCAAGCTCCGCCTCAATAATCCCTTTAATCTTCTCTATCTTCTTCTTCAACACCCTCTTCCCATAGAACTTGTCCCCTGTCTTTCTTACAGCAAACAGAACGTCCAAATTACTGTTGATGTTTCTCTTCTTCCTTATCATATCATCCTCATCTTTCTTGACTTGGGAGACACTTTCTGAAGAGGGTTGAACGTTGATAATCTCCACATCGCTACTCCTGACATCCAGCTCCTGTTTTACAACCCGCTGAAAATTCTGTTTAAAGTAAGAGTGAAACTGCTCCTCAATCAGATTCTGGAACTGGATTGTCACTCCGTTTTCCACCATGTCTTTTGTCGTGCACAGCACAGAGATATCGACCCTACCGTAGGTGGTGAATTTACCATCAGAAACGCTAACGTTAACGATGTAATTACCACCGTCCAGACTGGTTAATGCAATGAGTCGGCCATCATCGCGGTGGATATTGAAGAGGTGACTGTTAGGGGAGACAATGGTGAAAATTGTTTTATCATGGGGGTCTCTGTCCCTGGCCTCAAGGATACCAATGACGCCCCCCAGGAAACTGTCCATACAGGAGCGGAGATGGATTGACAGGTTGCTGACCTCTGGTGGAAATAAACTGTCATCCACTACCTCTATATCCACTGTTGCGTTGGAAGAAAGAGATGGTTTACCATTGTCGTGTGCTCTAACTTTCAATATGTATCTGAAACAAGAATGCAGCTTTTATTTAGAGTGCTAGGAGAGGGGTGTCTATACAGCAACAGCATACATTATGGCATAAAACATTCTATATTCAACAATCACAGCATGGCCAAGTGGTAGAGAGCTAGACTGCTAACCCAAAAGTCTAGAGTTCAGATCCTGGGCTAGAGTCTGTAGGATGTCCCTGAGTACACCCAGCTCTGATGGGTACCTGATTCACATTAGGGAAACAAAGGCATAGTGATGACCACACAACCCCCTTGTATGCAGAGGTAATTAAAACAAATGGACTCTACTTCATCTGCCCAATGTGTCTTGGGCACAAACGGGAAAAGATGCCGACGATTTAAAAATATTTCAAATTAAACTGTATCTATCATCAATTACATTCTCCATTCTCCTAACATTTTATCCTTGAATAAAACATTTAAAAAAAAAAAATTTAGGATCTACAAATTAAATTATATTTTTACATCTTCTAGCTTAAAATAGAAAAAAAAAACTAAATTAATCATTCTCACATTTTAATATTTATAATTCTTTTTTTTTGAGTAACAAATGGTAATGTATTAAAAAGTAATTATTCTCACATTTTAACATTTATAATTCTTTTTTTTTGAGTAACAAATGGTAATGTATTAAAAAGTAATTATTCTCACATTTTAACATTTATAATTCTTTTTTTTTGAGTAACAAATGGTAATGTATTAAAAAGTAATTATTCTCACATTTTAACATTTATAATTCTTTTTTTTTTGAGTAACAAATGGTAATGTATTAAAAAGACCCGTCAGAGTCACTCAAGAACAACAGGCTGCAGATCACTGCCAGTGACTTACCGCTCTTTCACTTGCTTGAGCAGCTTGCCAGCTGTGGTGATGACACCCTTGTTGTCAATGTGGAACTCTCCATTGTCATTGCCTTCAACAATCTCGTAATAGAAGGGGGGACCATTCTCAGGCAGGTCAGCATCAACTGCAGACACTGTAGCAACTTCAACCCCAGATTGTTGAACAACCTGAAGTAGAAAACCAGGAGGTCATTTAAATATTTGAAATATTCATGCAATGGAATAATGTATAATGAATAATGTATAATGGGAAATAATTAAAGAAGAGAATAGACATTTTCTTTCTCCTTAGAATATTCACTTATTTCATTTTGTATTGCTGACTCAATTAAAAGTACACAATCTTATGGTTTGATCAAAGAGAATCCAGGGTTGTTCTTTTTAGTCACACTGAGATGCAAGGTTTTGATAAAACTCATTTTGAAAACCAAATATTATTTGAAATAAAAATACAAAATCAATTAAATGAGCTAGAAAAGGATAGAAAAATGAAACAATTTTGCACTCAGAAATGAAGAAAGTAGCAAACTACATCCAGTTAGATAAGATTTTGATTGGTCAAAGTGATAGAAATTTAAAACATCTTAAATGCAGTTTATTGAAGATATCAGATATAACATTTAATAAAGCTTAAAACACAAGTTTTATCATGCAAGAGAAATTATTGAGATCTGACTTAAGAATCAGAATTGTTACCAGATAAATTAGTTAAAATTGAGGCCAAAAGGAATAAAGAGTTGCTTCAGCATAAGAAGTGATATTAATCATCATGCTAAAGAAATTTCAAAGTAACAGATTTGTGACATGATTTCAATCAGATTCTTTCCATTTGCAAGTCCAATGCAGAGAGGGTTAAAACAATGAAGAAAAGTTGATGCACAAATTTAAGTCTTAAAGAGACATTTGATGCTGTTGGATGTTAAATTTTTTTTCAATCCAAAAATACTTACAGATAAAAGATATGTTTTCTATAAAAAGAGGTGATTACAAAAGAGATAATATTAAGGGTAAAAGGAAATTTTTAAAATTAATTAAAGATTCTAAATTTAGCAAAATTTTATTATCTACAAAGAAACTTAAAATTGTAAACTAAATAAAATAAAAAAGGTTAAGATTTATATGTTCCCACGTTAAAATAATTAAGCTACAGTTCTTGTGAGTTTAGACATTTATCGAAGGTGCTAATATGAAACTTTAAATATTTTAAGTTTCTTTTCCAAATGTAAAAATTTTACAATTAAAAATAAGATATAAATTGGGGTACCTGGACAAGTCCCTTGAAAGTATCTTGTGTGAACACAGGTGGATTGTCGTTGACGTCGTCAACAATAATGCTGAGAACAGCTGAGCTGAAGAGTGTAGGGGCGCCAGAGTCTTGGGCCTGGACCACCAGGGAGTAGCTGCTAGTCTGTCAAGGGAAACAATTTGATCACATATTCACTGTGCACTATTTGGTGAATATTACATTTTAAATATTTAAAATAAGTAACCAATTACATATTATTATGTAGATTAAATTTTAATACAAATTCTCTTAATTCCATAAAATAAAATTTTTCATTTTTTCATTTAAAATCTAACAATTTTCTGGTACTTTTAAAATTACTTCACCATATGACTAACCTTTTCTCTATCTAAGGGAAATATAACCTTGACTGATCCATCTTTTTCATCAATTTTAAACTGCTGGTGATTGTTGCCATTTACCAAACTGTAGGTTATGATAGCATTAGGCAAACTATCACTGTCTGTAGCCATCACCTGTAAGGTCAAGGTTAAAAATAAAACACCTCGATATAATAATTCCAGTTATAGAGTATATAGATTTTTTAAATTAAATATTGGTAATGAAGATCAGGTTTAACATTCTATAACTTTTTTTTTTCTCGATTTAAATTGTTTGGAAGTAAAGGGTTAAAGAACAGAGCAACTATTTAATTTAAATCTGTGAAGCTGGTTTAACATTCATTTTTTTCCCTCCATTTAAATTGGTTGTAAGAAAAGGGTTAATGAATAGAGCAGCTATTTAACTTAAATCTGTAAAGCTGGTTTAACATTCTTTTTTTCCCCTCCATTTAAATTGGTTGTAAGAAAAGGGTTAATGAATAGAGCAGCTATTTAACTTAAATCTGTAAAGCTGGTTTAACATTCTTTTTTTCCCCTCCATTTAAATTGGTTGTAAGAAAAGGGTTAATGAATAGAGCAGCTCCATACCTTAAATATCTGTGAGCCTGGTTTAACATTCTCCAAGACGTGAATGGTGTAAGCGTCCTGGCTAAACCTAGGTGGGTTGTCATTGATGTCTGTGATGTTGATGCTGATGATAGCTGTGTTGGTGAGGGGTGGGGTCCCCCGGTCCGTGGCCAGGACTGTGATGAAATATTCACGAGAGAGTTCGTGGTCCAATGGCTCAGCTACAGTGACCACACCTTGATAAAAGAGGATCAGAGCATTGAGAAAACTTGTTCACAAATTCTTAATTATGGAGAATCAGGTAATTGAAAATTATAAATTGAAAAAAACAAACAATATCAGTCATCAATAGAAAACCTCAATGCGCTGCAGTACTAAACTTAAATACACTTTAGTCAACGCCACAATCTGAGTCTATAACTTAGTCTACATAAGTGTCTTAACTATCCCATCTAATATTTTTTAGCGCAATTTCCATTCTGGAGAATTGCGTTTATTAACTCGTCATTTCTGGGAATGGATGGATGGATGAATGAATGAATGGATGAATGTGTGTCCGGGCTTTAAGTCGTATCTCCTCCTCAACGAAGCAATATCGATGACTAGTTTCAAAAGCAATTATGTTAAGCAAGTTACGAGAATGAGCATAGGCCATAAAAATTCCGGGTTTCTTTCATGTATTTCCCGTAAAAGCCAAAAAACCTCGAAAAAATGCAGTTTTTGGCCCATATCTCGGCAACCAGACCACTTAGCGACTTGAAACATGTACCAATCGATTCCTGCCATAATTTAGAACAATATTGCCGAAGAAAGTTTTCAAAAATATCCTCTCGTTCGGTCACAAATTTTAAAATTACATAAACACCTACAAACCGATCGCTCTTCTAGCTTGAACGCACCCCATCATTATACGTCAGAGCTATTTTTAGATAACATAAGCAAATTGCGCATAAATGTCACTAGACTTTTTTAATTAACTTGCGCGCCTACTGAACGTGATGGCGCAGCCATGGAACGCGATGACGCATCTATTGAACGTGATGACGCGTGTGGTGTGGTTGTATATACATGCCAGAAGTAGAGATCTATCATCTTAATGATTATCATGTTGATAATCAAGTTCAACTAACCAATGGTTTTAATAACCCTGCTCTTGATTTCAAGGTGCTTAGTTTAGTTAGTAGTTAGGTTTATTTAATAAAAAACGTTTTAATAACTAACCAATGGTTTTACTAACCCTGCTCTTGATTTACGCTACGACAGAGCTATTTTTAGATAACATAAGGAAATTGCGCTAAAATTGTCACTAGACTTTTTAATTAACTTGTTTGGACTATTACCCCACATCTAAGCTGGTATCAAGTAAATAATCCAACTTTTGTATTGGTCTCTGTAAATTATCTCTACTATGTACTGCTATTTATCAATGTATCACACTTTTCTACTATGCAATGTTAAATTATGTAACCTTTCAACTTGCCTATAATAAATTATCTAAGGTATTCACTGGTCTATGCAAATTATCCCACCTTTGTATTGGTCTATGGCAAATTTCCCATGCTCGTTCCCAGCTGTGATAGCATAGGTGATGTCAGCGTTGAGGCCAACGTCCAGACTAGTGGCCTTGACCCTTTCAACCACAGCCCCGACCCTGGCAGACTCGTCAATGCTTGTGAAGTAGCTGGACCTCTCAAACTCTGGGGGGTTGTCATTGACGTCCAGCACCGTCACCATCAAAGTCACCTCTGAAGAAAGTTCTTGCATGTTCTGTAGGAGAGGTCGAAAAAGGTAAAAATAATTTTGGACTTTTTCTGTATATTTTACTTTTGAACCAGACAATTAAGAAAATGTTTCAATTTTCTTAACTGTTCCATCCTCATGAACTTTCTATGTTAGCATAAAGAAAAATTGTGTGTACACAGACATAAGTAGAAAGAATTATTGTGTAGGCCAAGTTAGACATTATAAACTATTAATATGAAGATAAACATTGGAATAATTAAAAATTGAAATTACATGGTTCACATTAGGAAATATGAATGTGAAAGCAGACTTAAGAAAATATTAATATGTAGATAGACATTGAAATTATTTTAAATGTAAGGTAAGTAAGAATTGATGTGCAGATACTCATTAAAGAGATATTAATGTGTAGATACTGATAAAGTATTAATGTGTAAAAAGACATTCAGAAGAATTGATGTGTAGTTAGACATGAATAAATTCAAATTTTAATAACATGGTTCACATTTTGACATTAGAAAGAATTAATGTGTAGATAGACATTGGAAAATATGAATGTGTAGATAGACATTAGAAAATATGAATGTGTAGATAGACATTCACATTTTGACATTACAAAGGATTAATGTGTAGATAGGCATTGAAAACTTTTAATGTGTAGATAGACATTGCAAAATATTAATGTGTAGATAGACAATGAAAACTATTAATGTGTAAATAGACAATCGGAGAAACAAAATTTAACATGACCAACACTTACATGATTGACAGGGTTGTAAGCAATGACAGTCAGGTTGTAGTAAGGGTTCTTCTCCCTGTCCAGCTCAGCTGCCAGACTGATGATCCCGCTCTCAGCGTCAATGCTGAACACACTGCTGGTTGTGGCTGAAAACTTGTATCGAATGTGGCTGTTGATACCTGGGTCAAATTAGGCAAAACATGAATTTATGTAATGAAACAAATAGTTGATTTTTTAAATATACAAATAAGGTATTGATGCCCACAAACACAACTGTAATATAATAAAATTCAATAGTACTTAATCTAATAAACTGAAAAAAAAAGTCAATAAAAAACAAATTGTTAATATGGAAAAAAAATCTAATTAATAACTAATTTGTAAAAAAAGTGAAATGCTTTCAGTTTATTTTGGCCTAAATGATTAAAATTGCTTCTATTTGCCTGAGTTTGCTCTGTTGTACTGTAGTTTATTTGAATCTTTAAATATTTTTGTATGGAAAAATTCTTAAGTTTGTCATGGTTAACGAGAAAATAAACCACTAATCAAGACAGTAATACAGACAAAGATGATGATAAATTTCTATAAAGATTAAAGTTCTTTCACAGAAAACCTAACAGAAATTTTTTTTAAAGATTTTTCTTACTAGTATCAGCATCTTGAGCCACAACCCTCGTCAGTAATGTACGAACTTTAGCGTCTTCCCGAATGTTGTAAGTTTCACGCAGGCTGCCCGTGGCAAACACTGGTGGGTTGTCGTTGACATCCTTCAGCACCACGAAGATGGACGTTGTGCAGGTCAGACCACCACCATCTCTGGCAACAGCTGTCAGTCTGTACTCTGGTTTGGTTTCACGGTCCAGGAGCTTAGCGGTTCTCACTACACCTGGTGAAGGGAAATTAAAATGTTAGCAGTTTTTACAACACCTGGCTATGGAATTAATGTTAGTGGTTTTTACAACAATGTTATATTTAGAACAGTGGTTCCCAACCTTTTTCGAGTGGCGACCCCCATTTATAAAAATTAAGTGACTCGCGACCCCCATAGAATTAAAAAGCCGAAATTAGTATGGAAATTAATAAGCACTAAAATAACATTTTCTAGTAGACTTTCAATATGAACTACTCTTGATCATTGTTTAATACCATGAGTAAAATTGCATACTATTCACTAAACATTCGTGGTTATTTTTTTTTAAGTATTTTTTATTTTGTTAACGCCAACCTATGTCATTATCATTATCTTAGTTTTGTTTTTAATCGAAAAATAGTGTTGAAAATCTATTCTCGAAAAGTCAATCAATTTTACGTTTAGGTATGAATGGTGAATACTACACCAAAATTCAGTGTGTAGTTTTTTATCTTACGCGGAATCATTCTACAAATCAAAGAATTCATCTTGTAATTCATCATGAATGCTGGAAACATCGAGGGAAAAAGAGAATGGATAATGCGTCAATGCAGATTCTTTTTTTTTTTCAGCTCAGACAAAATAGCGCTGCAGTTCGTTTTCACTTGATTCAAAATGCCCAGAAATTTCTTCTTTCAAAATTTTAATTATCTCACAATTAGATTCATCTACCACACTGAAGAGTTTCTCAAATTTACAATATGTCCAAGATTTATTTTCTTCGCCGATTTTGCACCTTTGATAAAAATGCCCCGAAATAATCATGGAAAGTGATAATATTCGTTCATTTTCCCTGAAGCTTCAGGTTATGCTTATGTTGATGTTCGAACACATCTGCTAGGTATGATACTCTCTCCAACCACTCTATGTCGTTTTCAGTATACCAAAAGGTCTTGTTTCCTTTGCATTTCCAAGAACAATTTGATTTCAGATTTCAATTCAAAAACACGATTCACAACAATTCGTTTGACAGCCAGCGCACTGGAGTGTAGAAGAGCAGAACCTCGTGATCTTTATTCAGGTCTTTGCTCAGTTCTTTGAAGGCTCCAGATTTTATATAATTTACCACTTATACTAGCAATGGAGTCTTGATGGCGATTGTTGAGGGCAGTGGTTAGGGAGCTAAATCTTTTCTGCTTTCTGAAAGCCCGATTTTTACCAAAACATAGATGGTGGACCATCCGTACAAACCCTCACAGCCGTTTTAACCCATTTTAATCATCCAATTTTTAAAAAAAAACGTATTTATTTTCTCCATGCTATCTTCACAAAAGAGCAACTCTTCTTTGCTATCATCTGAAGGAATATAGACAAAGATCAGCAAATACGAACACGAACTCACGTCTGTTGATTTATCAACTTGAAAAGCAAACAATGGTGAAAGCTTAATTTCAATAAAAATGTGTTATTTAACATCTACAGACATGTAAGAATTAATTTCACCATCTTCAACATGCAGGGTTTGATGAGATTTTCTCCTATTGTGTTTTTTTTTTTTGCTTGACATTTTCTGTCGCGACATCATGTGATGTGTTTTCTTGGTGAAAACTTCCAGTTCGATCAAGTCTATGACGTTTGCAACTAGCTTCATACCGACGAAAGAACTCCATATCTTTTTTTTTTATGAGGCTTTTATTCAATCCAGGTTGGATTATGCTTCTGTGGTGTGGAGCGGCAGCTTTATTTCTAAGCAGCTTCCTCTTCTTTCTTTACAAAAAAGGGCTATAATACTGGTTACTGGCTTGTCTAGTAGTCTGGATTCTTTTCTTACAACTAAAATACTTCCATTAAATAAAAAGATAATATATATACTAAATCAATTTTCTTATATAAAATATTCCACGAAACAGCCCCCTCTTACTTATCAGATCTATTTTCTTTTAACATAAAATTAAATCGTCGTCTTAATTTACCATTCCCTTATTCAACCTTTTTCCAAAAACATAGCTTCGCCTACTCTGGTTCTAATTTGTGGAACAATCTTCCTAATAAAATAAAGCTATCTAGATCTGAAAATATATTCAAATCTAAACTAAAACTAAAATTATTTAATGACCTAACTGACTCATTGTAACATTTCTCATTCATCTATTATATTCTCTTTTTTATCTCATTATGTATGATAGCTATGTACCATTGTTTCTTTATTCCACATTTTTAGTGCTATGTGTTACTGCTATGTGTTATTGAATTGTTTTATTTGTTTAAACGGCCAATGTGAAAAAAGGCCTTTGTGCCTACAATTGTAACCGTTGTTTGAATAAATTTGAATAAATTTGAATTTGTTTCGAATGACTCGTCTCAAATGACGTTTTAGTTTTGAAGATTTCATAAACTCGTGACTGAGAACAACTTTGTACAGTACGCTTTGCTTCTTCTCTATTCCCTTTCCAGTGATGTTAGTAAAGCCGAATTTCAAAAATTCTTCTAAATATTTATGTTTTGTTTCAAATTACTAAGGTTTAGTATACCAGTTGGCGACCCCCCAGAAAGCCCTTTGCGACCCCCAGGGGGGTCGCGACCCCCAGGTTGGGAACCCGTGATTTAGAATAATAAGTTAGCAGTTTTTATGCCTTGTTAAACAGAATGGTTAAATTTGCAGTTTTCACAACAATTTGTTAAATTTAGAATTTAAATGTTAAAAGTTTTCTAGTCTTTAAAAGATATATGTTAGCTGTTTTCACAAATCCAGAAAAATTATACAGTTGGATGGTCTTGCAACAATTATTTAAAAAGGATAATTGAAGACAAATCTTTTTGCGATAGTAAAAATCAACCCAAGGAAATTGTTTAGTTAAAATTCTATTTTAGATTACTATTTCAAGTTATAAAAATACTACGACACAATCAAACTATTGATCCTAGTTGGAGAATGTATGTTCATTCAACTCTGAAGTTTCAGTCCTGCTCTTTATTATTCTTAAATTATCCCAACCCAAAATCCTACAAACAATGCAGTCACCATGGTAACTTACCTGTCTCTTTGTTCATGCTAAAAAAGTTGGCTCCCACTCCTTCTAGAAAATATTCTATCCTGGAGTTGAGGGTACCTCTCTCATCAGCATCAGTAGCTCTGATGTGTGTGATTGGAGTTCCAATCTGAATGTCTTCATTCTGCTCTATCCTATGCAGGGGCTGGGTTTAAAATGTAGTAAAGGGTTCATGAAATTTTTTAAAAATATGTAACATATCTAAAGATTAGCTTTAACATATTTGCAAAAAATAGACAACAAGAAAAAATTTTGTGAACAAAAGTTCAATTATGTATTAAATTATGAAATTCAAAATTAATTTAATATTTACTTCATTAAGTGGAATAATTGTTAGCAGTAATTATTTTAAAAACTATAAGAATCTTTAAACTATCAATGATAATAATGAAACACATCCTTAATCAATTATAAATTATAGTACAGTTATAAAACAAGCTAAAAATGAAAAACACAACTAAAAATAGTAACGACAAGGTCATGCACACTGTATCTACTTGGACGCAGAGATAAAAATGTACCTGATCACAAACAGGTGCATTGTCATTGTCATCAATGACATCAATGATGACAGTTGCGTAGGTGAAGTAGGCACCGTCTGTGGCAGCAACACGGAGCCTGTACTGTGACCTGGTCTCTCTGTCCAGTTGTTTGTTCAGCAGTAGTTCCCCTTTCTTGGTGATCTGGTGCCAAGGAGAAAAGTGATATGGATTATACATTGTAAGTTGTTGTAAGATAGTAAAGTATACAGTCTCTCCATAGCTGCAAGCAAACAGGAAAGTAATGATTGAACAATATTTTCAGGACAAATTTAATGATCACATAAAAATAGCAGATCAACTTTCAGCATAGTAATTTCTTTTAATTTGCTAAAACATATTTTCATCATAGCTAAGTAATTTATTAATTTCAAAATAAATTTTTATTATGTAGTCTGACACACAGTTTTAAATTGAAAACAAAAGATAACTTTGTAAAACTTAGGGATAATTTGCAAAAACATTTTTTCATCATAGCTAAATAATTTATACATTTTGAAATAACTTTTTATTATATAGCATGACATACAGTTTTAAATTGAAAACAAAAGATAACTTTGTAAAATTTAGAGAGATAAAAAAAGGAACTTACATCGAACTGCCCAAGCTGATCTCCCTCAGTGATGTAATAGGTGACCTCTGCATTGATACCAGAGTCAGCGTCCTTAGAAACCAGAGTCACCAGCACCGTCCCAGGTAGCGCCCCTTCATTCACTGCAGTTGTGTAGGCATCACGCTCGTACCGTGGTGGGTTGTCATTGCTGTCCGAGATGGTGATCAGAACACTGGTCGTGGAGGTGAGGGACACGCCCTCGCCAGATTTCCTCCCGATCCCCCCGCCTGGCGTATCAGACACAATAACGGTCAGGTTGTACTGGTCCTGGGTCTCCCTGTCCAGGGGGGTGAGTAACGTGATCCAGCCCGTCTCCGAGTCAATCCCAAAAATGCTGGCAGGGTCGGACATGCTGGGGCCAAAGAAATACTTCAGGGGTTTGCTGTAGAGGTCAAGGTCAGTTGCCTGGAGCTGGATGACCTGTTGCTGCGTGGCTGCGTTTTCTGCTATGGTGGCCGTGTACGGGTTGCACGCAAACTCGGGTCTGTTGTCGTTCACATCTTGCACCTACGTACAAAAAAAAATAATTATTAACATTTGACGTACAAAAGACTTTTCAAATAATAATTCTCAATATTTCATATCTTAATTGGTGATACTTATTTTCTAAAATTTCAGTTAAATTATCTACTTAGTTTTATAACAATAGCATCTATAACAATAAATATATAAAGTGTTGTATAAAAGTGAGTTTTAATACAGAAACTAGCAATATATCAATGGACAGTTTCTTGTAAGTAAACAATATTAACACGTACTGGTATGTAAATATACTGCAGAAATATAATACATAGGTACATGTATATATAGCATACCAAGCAGGAAGTAATTATAAATACTTAATTGTGCAAAATTACTTTTTACTCCAATCTTAAACAACTATAAAAACCTACCTATATGTAACTATGAACACCCACCTGTATGTTACTACAAACAACCACCTCTATGTTACTAAAACACCCATGTATATGTTACTACAAACACCCATACATATGTAACTAAAACACCCACCTATATATGTTACTAAAACACCCACCTGTATGTTAATCTCCATATAATCCAATAGTGGTGGCATTGTTTTTGTCTGTGCCATGATGTACAGGTTGTAGGTCGGCGTGACCTCCCGGTCTAACCTCTTGGACAGCAGCAGCTGACCAATGCTGTCTATAGTGAAGGCAGACATCAGGTCAGCTTGACCAGCACCAGAGATGATGGAGTATATGAGCGGGCTGTCATTTCTTGCTTTCAGTGTTGCTATAGTTGTTCCAATCTAAGAGAAGAATAAAAATTAGTGATAAAAAAATCAGTAATTTATTTTTTAAAATGTTAACATTATGGCTACATTTTCTTTCAGTAAATAATAGCAAAAGAATTTTTAAAAGTTACAAACATCAATATAGAAATAAAATAATATAATATAGCAACAGTTCAAAGAAAAGAAACTGAAATTTTAAGATTAGATTGTGGACTTGTATGTTCGTTAATTGAAACTATTGGTGGCTTAGGATATTTTTTATACTACTTGACCTTTCTGTCATTCAATGTTTAAAGTATTTATTGGTAAATTTTCAGAAAATTAAAAAAAAAATAACTTTCTATTTGGCTGAAGGTTTTATTTTTATATTCTATTGATAAGCTTAAATGATTATTTATTTTTCTATTTACATAAAAATTGAGTAAAGTTATTGCATTAAGGTACATACACAGATTCTAACCAATTAGCTCTCTCTCTCTCTGCCCCCCCCCCCCACCCCCCCCCCCCCCCCCCCACCCCTGCCCCACATGCCCTTTTGTAATTACCGGCTCATTTTCATGGACAAAAATTAATTTTGTCGACTCTGCAAATCTGGGAGGGCGGTCATCTTTCTCTATGATCTGAATCTGTGTGGAGACTGTGTTGACCATTGCTGGGTCCCCTAGGTCAGAGGCCTTCACAAAGAACTGGAAAATTGTGTTGTTTTCTGCAAGCAACAAGTATTAATGTTGTTAAAAGAAACTAATTTACAAATTTTCATTACAAATTTTTTTCATTTTTGTATACAAGAAATATTCTATCAATGACATTTATATGTTGATGGAACAATGCTTGTATACATTAAAAATTTTAATTTAAAATATATATAAATATCTATATACATATGATATTTATGTAGGCTTAGCTCTGTAGGAGTCCATCCATGATGGGTAGCTGACTTATGTCAGGGAAACAAAGGCGGCTGAGTATAGTGCTGACTACACTATCCTATTTTATGTCTAGGTTACTGAAACAAATGAACTCTATTTCTTCTGCAGGAAAACATGATATTTTTACATTTTCATCTTCTTTAATAAGAAAGCTCACAGTTAAAGAATTAGTTTCATATATATATAACACTGCCAAAAAGCTGCCAAATTAGCTCTTACTTGCAACACTCAAGTCCACCTTGGTAGTGATCTCCCCTGTGTTTGTATTCAGCTCAAAGAGTTTAGTTACTTCATCATCTCCAGACAGAAGTGAGTACACAATTTTAGCGTTGTCCCCTTCATCTTTATCTTCTGCTTTTACCTGAAATATTTTATCATTTCAATTTAAATATCAGTACCTACACAATGTACTAATCAAATACCCAAGCTATTTAAGGGGTGATCATGGCTTTCCTATCAAGTAAACAAACATATTTGCAAGCTAATAATTAAACTTTAGTGGAGTAGACAAATGAACAAATTAATTTTTTCAAGCATTTCAAAATTAACAAAATGACAACCAACATAACTTTTGTTTTAAGTTAACAAAACAACTTGTAAATCAATGTAAAAACTACTTTTTAAGTCAACGAAACCAGTTTTAAATCCATTAAAAAAACAAATTAAAATCAACAGAACACTAAAACATTTAAGTCAACAAAAACTATTCTTTAAGTTGACAAAAACTATTCTTTAAGTCAACAAAAACTGTTCTTTAAGTTGACAAAAACTATTCTTTAAGCCAACAAAAACTATTCTTTAAGTCGACAAAAACTATTCTTAAAGTCAACAAAACCAGTTTTAAATCAATTAAAAAAAAACTAATTAAAATCAACAAAACACTACAACATTTAACTTCTTAAGTAAACAAAACTATTCTTTAAGTTAACAAAAAACTTTCAATCTTGCCTTCAGCACAACAGATCCCACTGTTGCGTTCCGGGCCACATTAAATTTATACTCGTGCATTGAGAACATGGGCATATTGTCATTCTCATCCGTCACTCTGATGACAACTCTGGCAAAGCCCATCTTGCTGCCGTTGTCAGTGGCAGCAATGGTGAAGTTGAAAGCACTTGTTTTCTCCCTGTCTAGTCTTTGTCGAGTTGAAATTTCTCCTGAAAAAATAAAATGTTCAGTTGAAGTATCTCATAAAAAAATGTTTTGTTTTAAAAATAGAGGAAAATGCTAAATTTAAGTTTTACAAATTTAAAGTGAACAACATTTTTATCTTGATGATAATAGAAATAATTTTAGTAGTAATAATCTCAACAGTAATAATTTAAAAAAAAAAACATAAGTAAAAGAAAAATTTTGTGTTTGTAGCACAAATTCAATAATAAATATTTTAAAGTTATTTATCCAAAATCATGAAAATTTTTGAAACACAAATAGAATACTATACAAGTTTAACAAAAGTTTACACCCAAACTACTTTTTGTTTACATTGCCTAATTTGTTTAGTATGATAATTAATTCTTTAAAAATTTGATCATCAAAAATACTATTTAGTTTTAAAAAAAAAGATTTAAGTTTCAACGTACAGTTCATGAGATGAACAAAAAGTACCTGTATCAGCATCAATGCTAAATATTTTTGCCATGTGGGTGTTGACAATGGAGTAAGTCAGCAACCCATAATTCCCTCTGTCCTTGTCAACCGCAGTGGCTGTCAGAATGGTTGTCCCGGTTGCCACGCCCTCGGACACATTGGCATAATACACATCTTTCACAAACTTGGGTGTGTAGTGGTTTGTGCTGCGTACGTCCACTGTCACCCTGGTGAAGCTTGTGTACACGCCATCAGTAACTGACACGTTAAGTGTGTACGCCGGACCAAGGGCCGGCACTCTTTGCTCAGACAGGGAGATAATCCCAGAATTGGCGTCGATGCTGAAGGTAAATTTATCATTACCTCCGACAATGCTGTAGAAAAGATTGTCGGCATCTGATTCGTCAGGGTCAAGGGCGATGACCTTGAAGACCAAGTGACCACGCGTGGCAGTGTCGCTGATGTAGCAATCATAGGACGGCTGAGTGAATGATGGGGGGTTGTCATTCAAATCCAAAACCTAACAGGAAATAATGTAAAAGGAAAATCTGTATCACAATGTTCAAAAAACTAATTAAAGACCTAAAATAAAAACAATACTAATACCAAAAGGTAAAATAAAAATAAAAATGGACAGTTATACCATGTACATAGCTTGTATGTCTGGGTTACCTCACATGATACCCAGTCCTAGGGCCCAAATACTGGTCAAAAACAGAATATCAAGATGGTTATTTAAAACATCTTTAGGCTGAGTTAACTCAGCTTAAATGTGTACCCAGCTTAGGTTACTATTCGTTGTTACCATAACAGCACAGGAACACAACTTTCTCTAACCAATGGGCTTGGTAGTGCCAAAACTATAATTATCTTTTAAGATTCCGGCAATAGGGCTGGTAAGTAGGTCACCAACCAGTTCTACGGCTCAATAAAACCTGCATGAGCCATAGAACTGTTTATTGACCTACTTACCGATTGTGGAGAGAAAAAAAAAGGGACAAAAATAAATACACATTTGGTTTGTGTATCAATAAATTTGTAAACAGCAACATATTTACCTTCACAGTAACAAGAGCAGTTGAGCTGAGCACATGCTTTCCATTGTCCTTGGCCACCACCAGCATCTTGTACTCCTTCTGCACCTCGTGGTCCAGAATCTTCTTCAGAGTGATCTCCCCTGTCTCGGTGTTGATCTGGAAATGCTCCAGGTCCCTCCTGCCAGGGGAGACTGGTGCCAGACTGAAGTAGACCAGGGCGTTGGCCCCGCTGTCAGCATCCGTGGCATTGACCGTCAGAACCCTGGAGCCGATGGATGCGGACTCTGAGAGTGTGTGGGTGTAGGAGAGGCTGCCAAACACTGGTGGGTTGTCATTGACATCCTGTGGAGTTATTTATAGCTCAATGTGTCATGTGATTTGATGGAACAGACAAAAGGAATACACTATATAGTTGTTTATTTAGTCTTAGATCATTAAACATGGAGATCTTTAAAAATTCAAAGTTGATGTTTTCAACTAAACTAGAAAAGTTTATACTTATAATTTTTAATTAAGTAGGAAATTTAAAAATAACAAATCTAAAAATAAAACAAAGAAAATTTGAGTTTATAACCTTTCATATTTATTTAACAAAGATTTCCACAACAAACTTTTAGTTTTTCATCATTCAAAAGATATAGTTCAGATTAATCAAATTGAAAACAAAAATACATTTTTAAAAAAGAATAATTAAAAATTTTTAATAAAAAAATTTGAAAGCTGTGTATCATTACCTCAACTTTCACATTGACTGTGGCCTCAGCGTAGCTCCCTGTAAAAACATCGCTGGCACGGATGGTCAGTGTGTAGGCATTATTGTCCTCGTAGTCCAGGTTACCCACCACAGACAAGTAGCCTAGAATGGTCAAAACAGATACCCCTGGTCATAATATGCTTCAAAGACTGCCAAAAAAAAAAAACTACAAATACTGTGTGGGACCTATTAAAAATTCCTCCTGTGTTTTGTAGAAACGAAAAAAAAAAGTCCTGAAATAGTGATGATAAAAAAGCAAAGCATGTTTAAGGGGTTAGAAGCAGCTGTCCATTTTATTCTAAAAATAAAATTAAAATCTATTAGGAAAATAATGTACTTAATTTTAGATTAACTAATTACTACTAATTGACCTGACTGAGATATAACAATATTACAAAAATTTGTGTCGCTTAATATAAATGGTGCATGGTTATTTTACAGAACAAAAGCTATTCAATATTTTACAACATTTTATATAAAATTTGGTTTCACATCTAAGATGCAGCCTCCTGTGTTTTACCTCCCTTATTTTTTCTACACAATAACATGATTGTGACAAATAATTTAATGCACTTTTCTTAACTAAATTTTTTTTTAACTAAGCAAAGCTGAGAAATGATGAAGCAAAACTAACTATAAATCTTTATTTAAAAAATATATAAAAATATAACTTTTGAAAACATTTCTTTTTTATCTTTATCATTGTATAAAGAAACTTTCAAGCTTAATTTAATTTGAATTTAAGCTTTAATATTGTTTTTCTTTTTTTTTCTTTTGTTACAAATTATACCTTTGATAAGTAATACTAACATTACAACTTAATCTTATATAATCTGTATTAAAATACAATTCTATGCACTAAACACATTTTTTTTAAATTTTCATAAGTCTAACAATGACTACAACTTAAAACATTTATTTGGATGGACTTGTAATAGAACTAAACACAATAATACATAACACATCAATTTCAAAGTTATGGTGTACAAGGAAAACATTAAAAAAACAAATAATATTCAGTAACATTAAAAAGTATGATCTATTGCTGAAACAATCCAATTTCAGTGTGCAGAACAGCTGGATCTGCCACTGAGGGGAATAAGTCAAAAACAGCAACCCATAGAGATACCTGTTAGGAGCTAATCTATTGTGTTATGTTTGGAAGATGACAAATAGAAATGGAGCAAAATGAAATATTAGTTCCTTTTCACACTTAGGTTATGCAGTGCATGCTTTAACTATTGTAATTGCTTCCCTTTGAGATTTATTACTTTACACACCATTACTGGAATATAAATATATGTGTTTGCTTTTTTTTAAAATACTTCTTTTAAAATATTGGAATATAATATTTTATTTGTAATTTATGATTAAATTCACTGACGTTTTCTCACTTATTGATCATTGATAAGCCAAGCCTACAAGCATATTTTTTAGAAAATTAGCAAAAACCTATTTTCTTTACCAATAAAAGTCACACGAAAAGTGCAAATGCTAAACTTTAAAATATGTCTAGATTTTATTTTAAACTAAGAAATTAAATTCTGGATAATAACGAATTAAATATCTATTATCTAATTACTGAATCTAAAGTATATAATTAATTAATTATGCGCTGCTTGTGATGTTTTCTTCATTTTTTGTTAGCTGGAATCACCTCACTTCATGCTGGGATCATGCAAGTTATTTCTTTAACTTAATAACTAGATCTATATCCAATCAGCATAGTTCTGTGTTAAATTTTAAATTCTGTAAAATTATAGATAATTAAATTGTATCCATAGAAACAGGAAACAGAATCTTCACATTTATTTTCTAACTACCAGAATCAACCGGTATAAAAAGTAGTGTTACAAAAGCTTGAAAGAAGCGACAAAAATAAATAAATAAATAATCAATTACCTTCAGAAAATGGACTAGGTTCGTTGAAATCTTAAGGAATTATTAGAAAAGATTTGTTTTTAAAGAAACTGACATTTTAAGTCATTTTTACTAGCAAATTAGAAGATATACAAAGAATTGTTTCGCTCATAATAAAGGGAACTATTAACATCTTTAAAATGTTGCAAATACTGAAACTAAACTTCATGTGTATGTGCTGAAGATGATCTGACTTTTGGTTAATTCATCACACATGCCATTTTCAACACAAACTTGTTTAAAAATCACACATGATAACAGCAATCAAAACAACCAATTAATTAGCAATGTCTGGTGTTAATAATCATGTCTTAAATAACCAAGGAAGACACATAAATTATGTATTAAATGTTACTCACACATTACATAACATATAGAATGATTACTCATAACAATAAAACAGTAAGGAAATGTTAATTCAAAACATGAATGGAAAAATCAAGAGGAAAAATAATCTACATGAATACATATATATATAGTACAGCGAGATACTTACAAGGACCCAGTGTTTCCATGTCTATGAAATGTTGTGATAGAAGATATTATGTTAAGGTTGGATTGGTTGGGTTAGTTAGGGTAAATTTTGGTGTTTGGGATAAGTGAAAAAATTTTATGGTTTGTGTAAAATAAAATGTTTTCAGAGCTTCAAAACAAATGCAATTTTAGAAAGAAAAACAGTTTTTTAAAAAGATGAAATAAACACAAATTGTTTTGTTCATTGAGTTGAATGGCTAAAAATAAATATCTGGGACAAACCAGTGCACACAAATTATTGCCAGAGCCTCACAAAATTCCAAATGCCAAATCAAATTTAATTTTATACTAAACAGAAAAAAACCTTTAGTAAAAACTATTGGACTGCAAATAAAAAATATATTTAAAATAAACCAAATTCAAAATAATTCAAAGCCATTCCTAAGCTAGCATTAACGTAAAGAAATTATAAAGCATGACTAATGCTCTTGTCAATGCTTCCAATTATCCAAGTAAATAATATAATAAAGTACATTTATAAGTTTATTTATATGTAACTTTTATAAATGAAAAATATCTCTTAGATTTAAATTTGTTTAAAGTTAGTTTTTAAATTTTCTTTTCCGTTTTAGTGAGAAAAAAGACCAACACAAGATTTTAACAAAATTTAGTAAAAGGAATTTTAAACTAGCAAATAAGATAACTTTTTAGCATTTTGCTTTTTTAATGATAAAATGATCAGGGTCAACTAAAAGACTAAAAATAAAAATACATGTAAATCAGGTAAATCATAACCTATTGTTCTTTAATATTATCAAAGGGAGGAAATATTATGATAAATAATGGTAAAAAATGCCTCGCTAATAAAGTGATCTTACCTGTATTGAAAGACAGGGCGAAATCTCCATATTTATCCCCCCTACTGATGGAGTAGATCAGCTTCTGGCCGTGTGGGGAAATAGCTTTGGCGGACATGACGGGGGAGTGGGGGGCAGCATTCTCAAGGACGCTGGCCTCATAGACCGGCTGCTCAAACAATGGGCTGGAACTGTCAGTGATGTGAACGTGGACCGCAGCGACGGCCGTCAATGATGGGGAACCTTTAGGGTTAACATAAAATAAGCTATGAATAATTTTTGTATAAGGCCATCCTTTCTAATCAATACAAAATGGGATAAATAATTTCAATGAGTAAACACAACTGAGGGGGTGGGGGAATTAAAGTTTCCAATGGGTACCTGACTTGTTGGAGAATGTAAGTATAGATTGCACAGTTCTACTGTCATTGAAGCATAAAATCTTTTTCATCTGCCCTTTATCTGCCCTTAAGACCCTCAGCTCGAAAAAGTTACTTATACTTGTTTACTGACTTAAATACTATAATACAAATAGCCCTAATGACCATAAATAAATAACCCTAATTTACCTCTTCAGACTTAAAAACCAACAGGTCAGAAAGGGACTTTATTTTTACTTATTTAGTGACTGGAATACTAAAATTGTTTGTTAAAAATCACTGTCTAGTACAAAAACATATTCGGCTTTTATTCTCGGCAAGAACTCTCATTGAAATCACTGTAGCACAAAAACATATTGAGGTTACTAGCCTTTATCCTCAGCAAGAACTCTCATTGAAATCACTGTAGCACAAAAACATATTGAGGTTACTAGCCTTTATCCTCAGCAAGAACTCTCATTGAAATCACTGTAGCACAAAAACATATTGAGGTTACAAGCCTTTATCCTCAGCAAGAACTTTGATTAAAATCACTGTAGCACTAAACATATTGAGGTAACTAGCCTTTACCCTCAGCAAAAACCCTGATTAAAATCACTTTAGCACTAAACATAATGAGGTAACTAGCCTTTACCCTCAGCAAAAACCCTGATTAAAATCACTTTAGCACTAAACATAATGAGGTTACTAGCCTTTATCCTCGGCAAGAACTCTGATTAAAATCACTTTAGCACTAAACATATTGAGGTAACTAGCCTTTATCCTCAGCAAGAACTTTAATTAAAATCACTGTAGCACTAAACCTATTGAGGTAACTAGCCTTTATCCTCAGCAAGAACTTTGATTAAAAACACTGTACAAAAACATATTGAGGTAACTAGCCTTTATCCTCTGCAAGAACTTTGATTAAAATCACTGTAGCACTAAACCTATTGAGGTAACTAGCCTTTATCCTCAGCAAGAACTTTGATTAAAAACACTGTACAAAAACATATTGAGGTAACTAGCCTTTATCCTCAGCAAGAACTTTGATTAAAAACACTGTACAAAAACATATTGAGGTAACTAGCCTTTATCCTCAGCAAGAACTTTGATTAAAATCACTGTCTAGTACAAAAACATATTGAGGTAACTAGCCTTTATCCTCAGCAAGAACTTTGATTAAAATCACTCTAGCACTAAACCTATTGAGGTTACTAGCCTTTATCCTCAGCAAGAACTTTGATTAAAATCACTGTACAAAAACATATTGAGGTAACTAGCCTTTATCCTCAGCAAGAACTTTGAGAACTATCTCCTTGTTGTGATCTCTGGTGTCCAAGTTCTTGACCACAATCTCTCTAGTGTAGGGGTTGATGGCAAACTTGTTGTTATATGACTCAGCCAGGACGTACTTAATTTCTCCGTTCATGCCAATATCTGGGTCTACTGCTCGAACCTGATGAGATGGAAGAAGAATTTTTTTTAAAAGTGTGCATTAATATTCAAGTATTAAAAAGGACGGTAAAAACCAAAATTGACTTGTTTTTTAATAAAAAGAAATAGTTCATTTCAAAATATAAACACTGCAAAATGTACTATAATTTCTTTATAACTTAATTTTTTTTTTAAATTATTAAAAGACAATGCAGTCTTGTATTTTATAAAGCACATCACATAAGCAGACAATTTAGGGCCTTGGCTTTAGACTGGATTTCCAAAGCACAATCATCCAAAGGTCTACTAGACTACGGAGACATAGGGAGGAATGTGGTAGTGGAACACAACTACTACCCCTACTAAAGTAAGTAATCTAAGCTTTATTTAGATGACAGTCAAGAGCAGTGGTGTAGGCAGTGAGGTATTAAAAGGGGTTAGAACCCCCACCTCCTCCAATGAAGAAGTTCTGCTGATGGCGTTGGTCAACAGTCTATCCAGATTTATCGCAAGCAGTTTATTATTTGCAACTGGTTAAGGGCAGCTGTACATTATCAACAGTTATTATTTCTTAAAACAGTATAAATCTTGCTTACTTTCACATTTTATCACAATTGAGGAAATAAGGAAAATGTCAGGATTTGATAACTAATGACACAAGTAGTCTGCCACACGGACATAATTTTAAAAGCCACAATTACAGCAAAAGTAATAAAACCCCTCTTGCAATCTTTTTAAAAAATTAATCAGTTTCAGAGATTTTCTTCCAATGATTATTTGCCTTATTGCCAACCTTCTCCTAAAACAGTTAGGTTTGACACCAGTCATCTTTTTTCAAATTCTTAAACACCATAATCTCTCAGGGGAAGTAATAGTCATTTTTTTTGTAATAGCCATACATCAGCAATTCATTTACTTAAACATTTTTCATAGAAAGAAAAAGTGTATAATCCCAAGCCCTTTACTATTTTAAACACCTGACACTGACAATTAAAAAGTTTTATCTCTTGAAACATGTAGTTATCTTTTCCTGAAATAGTGAGTTATATTTTCCTGGTAATTAAAAAAGTTGTCAGGGGATAAAATAAACAGCCTCACCACTTGGATAACTTTCCCACTCTCAGCATCAGCAGACACGGTGCAGTGGTAGGGCAGGTTGAGGAACATGGGAGGGTTGTCATTCTCATCCTGCACCAGAACCTGCACCACGACATGGGCAGATAACTCCTTGGTCTTGCTGTCTTGAACCTGCCAGATTTTTTTTTTTAGTAGTGAGAAAATTGCAGAGGTATGTTTGTTGATTGCCTTCAACTGCTTAAAAAAACATATTTGACTCTAATAATTTAAATCTATAAATTGTTTAGCCATTTTGAAATAAATAAATATTAATTTTTCTTAATTATTGGATTATAAATTAACTTTAAACTTAGTTTTTTTCAATTGCAAAAAAAAAAAAAAATAGACTTAAATAAATTTCTGACTGACTAATGTCAACTAAGTCCAATGTAAATACTTGTAACATATTTATACAGTGCAGGTGGACTCACCTTGACAACTACTGTGTAGTTATCTTTCCTTTCCCTGTCAAACTCAAGGCCGTTGGTCGACAACACACCAGAAGTCTGGCCAACAGAAAACAGGTCACGGTTGTTGAGCAAGGTGAAGGTGACGTGCTGGCCAGGTTTCAGGGCCACCGGCTGAATGATGACCAGCTGGTACTCCTTGGCGCTGTTCTCTGGCACGGTGGCTGAATATCTGGGGGAAATAATCCAAGCATGATAATAAAAAAACTTTTTGTCATCTAAATATTAGTAGGCGGACAGCATGGTCAGATTGTAGAGCTCACAGCTGCTAACCCCAAAAGTCTCAAGTTCGGATCCCAGACTTGAGTCAGTATGATGTCGTTGAGTCTATCAAGCTTTGATGGGTACCTGACACATGGGAAACAAAGGCAGGCGGGCATGGTGCTGACCACACTATCAATCATATTCCTAGGTCACTGAAACAGATGAACTCTACTTCATCTGTCTCACATCTTAGGCATGAATAGGAAAAGAGGATGATTAATATTAATAAAATTTGTTCCAAAAAGTTACTGTAATCAGAATTTAAACAGCTGTTGCTTTCATAGTTAAACCTTATGCAGATAGTCTGGTGTTAAGTATTACCATTCCTTTCAAGACACATCTATAGGTTTAATTAAACTTAAAGGAATTAAAACTTAGCATTAAATTAATTTAAATAGAAAATAGTCCTGCTTGCCTCACAGGATAGTCTCTTTCCACCTCAACCTCTACCTGTAAGTAAATATATTTATAAATTAATTTAAAAAAAAAATATCAACTATATTTTACCTTTCTTTAACAAATCTAAGCTCCGTGGCGCCCTCTTGTTGCACGTTGATGAAAATTCTAGTCAAGGAGGTAAATTTCCCGTCGGTCGCCTGCACGCTCAGCTCGTAAATTATCTTTGACAGTTCGCACTTCTGCACGGTGATGACACCCGTCTGTGAGTTGATCTCAAATGCCGCCTCATCATTGCCGTTGATAATACCATAGCTGAGTGGTTTATCAAACACAGTATCAGGATCACTGGCCATAACCTGGATGACCGCCACGTCGTAGTATGTCGGCAGGACAAGCAACGCTTGATAGACTGGCTCACTAAACCTCGGAACATTGTCGTTGACGTCTTCAATGTAAATGACGACCGTCGCGGTCTGAAAAGCCTGGAGCTGGGGTACCCCCAAGTCTGTCACCTGGACTGAAAAGTTGTAAACAGTCCTGGTTTCGTAGTCTAACGTCGCCATGGTCCGAATAGCTCCGGTGTTGGGGTCAATAGCAAAGTATTTCAAAGCTTCGTGACCCACAATCTGGTAATACAATCTGGCGTTGTTGTTGGAATCTGCGTCTTTAGCTTGGACCACCAGTGGGTACCTGGCAGAGTCCAAGACCATAGAGCCTTGAAGAGCAGATTCCGAAATGTTGCCGACATAAACGGGGTGTATAAAAACAGGGGCGTTGTCGTTGACATCAACAATGTGTACTATGACATTAACAGACTGAGACGCTGAAACAATATTTGTGGCCATGACGGTCAAATTAAAGAACTGATTCTTTTCGTAGTCGATTGGCCTCAAGGTAAATATAACCCCTGAATTAGGGTTTATGTTAAAAAAACCTTCGTTATCTCCTCGTAAAATGGCATAAACAACCGTAGACAAGCTGGTGGCTATGACTGACGTCACCACAGTACCAGATGGTAGGTTCTCCTGGAGCTCTACAGAGTACTCCTTCTGCAAGAATTTGGGCGGGGAGTTTGTCGATATGGTGACGGCTATTTCAACCTTGGTTGTGCTGCTGAGAGGGGGTTCGCCCATGTCGGTGGCGGAGACCAGCATCTCAAAGCTGGAGTGGACCTGGCGGTTGAGCTCTTTGGCCACGGATATGATGCCGCTGTGGTTGTCGATGCTGAAGGTGCTGTCGGCATTTCCTGAAAGGTCAAGGACACTGCTATTAATAGGTTTACAGGTTTAAAAAAAAAATTTGACATTCAAGGGAAGTAAAAAGTTACATACTTGTATGATTTTAAAAAAAAAAAGAATACAGTTTCCCAAACATGTTAAAAAACAAACTTTCCAAAGATATTTTCTAAAGTGACTTTTGTTTCAAAGGTCACAATCTTTTTAATACTTGTTCTGAACTACATGGACACATTGTAAACACAATGGAAATGTCACTTTCATCATTATAGGATTAAACACAAAAGTTCACTGCCTGAATCTATGAATGGGATCTTTCTATGTAACCCAAATAAGTCAAGATAAAATGGCCAGAAAAAATGTCCAATGACAACCTGTGGCTAATCATTAAACAACAGCCAATAGACAAGGATGTTAAAGCCTGCAATTGGAGATAGATCAGGCAGGCTAAGAAGAGAACATGTCAACACTACTAGGCAAGGATTGAACTGGAACCCCCATGGGAAAAGAAAAGTAAAGTAAGTAACAAAAATGTAAAGAATCCTTTTAAGATCAGCGATCCATTGGGCAGATGCAGAGGCATAGCACCCCTTCCTGGCGCCCGGGGACAAACTTTTGATTTGTTTTTCCAACCCATTTTGGCGCCCCCTAAGGTCGGCGCCAGGGAACATATGTCCCCCCCCCCCCCCGCACCCCCCCCCTCGCTACGTCTCTGGGCAGATGAATTAGAAATCATGTTTCTTGACCTCTGTATATGAAAGGAAGGTGTGTTCAGCGCTTAACACAGCAGCCTTTACTTTCCCTAACATGAGTAAGGTACCCATCAGAGCTGGGTGTACTCAAGGACATTATACTGACTTAGACAAAGATTTGAACTCAAGACCCTCGGGGTAGCAGCCTAGCGCTCTACTACTAAAGCCACGCCATACCATGGAAATGAAAAGCAGACACATCTTAACTATCCTGGAGAAGGATTGTGGAAAGTTAAGCAAAGACTGCGAGGTTTACATGGGCATAACTAAATAGAGGTGCCCAAAACAGTGTAGCTACTGCCCTTTTTCTCCTCAGGGGCTACATAGGATGAAGTCACGTCAAATAAATAAAAGTAAAAGTTTGAACCCTCACCTGAGAGTATGGAGTAAGTCAGCTCCGCGTTGAGTCCCTTATCACTGTCCACAGCCATGACCTGCACCACCGACGTCCCCACGGCCGCCGACTCGTACACCTGACCCCTGGTCACCTCCGACAAGAACTGTGGCACGTGGTCGTTGTGGTCAGTCAGGGTGATCTCCACCCTGGCGAAGCTGCGCTTGGACAGAAATCCCTGGTCCCTGGCTTGGACGGTCAGTAGGTGGCGGGACAGGTCCTCTCTGTCCAGTGGACGGTCCACGACTATCACACCTGGTCAACATTTTATAAAGACAATTCCATTTTAATCTTCAGCTCTTGAACAATTACAGACTGTTCACTGTACTAATACGCCATTATTTATTCCAAAACGAATAAGCTTTGTACATTTTTAGAGATTTAACATATTACATAAAACAAAAATATGACATAATATAAATTTTAAAGAACCCCCACCCCCCTCCTTTCAGTTGCTTATGAAGGTACAACAAAAATGTGCATGATGCTTAACTAGGAAGTTCTAAGCATGTGTAAATGTATTTAAATCAGTAAATAAATGTACTTTTATGTACACACACATATAATACATTTTATATAGGCCCCTGCATATATATATATATATATATATATATATATATATATATATATATATATATATATATATATATATATATATATATATACCTATATATATATATGTATGTATATATATGTATATATATACCTATATATATATATATAGATATATATATATATATATATATATATATATATATATATATATATATATATATACATATATATACATACATATATATACATACATATATATATATATACATATACATATATATACATACATATGTATATATATATACATATACATATATATACATACATATATATACATACATATATATAATATGCACACACATTATGCCAAGAATATATTTCTTTGTAAGAAAAAATTCCCCTCCCCGCCCCCCTCGAAGGTGAAGGTCACAACAACAAACAGACGTAGGTCTCTCACCATCTTTCTCCCCGATGTGGAATTTCTCCAGACTTCCGGTGGAGGCGGCCGACGTGATGGAGTAGAGCAGACGGTTGTTGCTGTCGGCGTCCTTGGCCGTGACGGTGAGGATGTAGGTGCCGACCTCGGCGTTCTCCGAGATCTCGGCCCGGTACAGCGTGCTGGTGAAGATGGGCTCGTTGTCGTTGCCGTCGACGATGGTAACGTCAAGCTTAGACGGGGAAAAAATGGCGGACGTTAAGGATCGATAAAGCAAGAGTATATTATGCCAGTTCTTTTTTTATTTGAAAAAAAACAAAACAAAAAACAAAAAACCCACAACACAATATTATATTGACGTTGTTTCTGCTATTATTGCTAGGGTTATTTAAAAAAATTAAATACTTTTTCACATCTTACGATCCATGGGGCAGGTAAAGTAGCCCTGCTTCAGTGACATCAGGATATGAAGGGATAGTGTTGTCAACGCTAAGCCCAGAAGCCTTTACTTTTTTTTAACGTGAGTCAGGTACCCATTAGAGCTAGATGGACTCCGTGACGTAGTACGGACTCCTGGGATCCGAATTCGAGACTTTCGGGTTAGTGGTAACATGGAACAGGAGAGGTAACATGGGTTAGTGGTGAACGTTCCACCATTCGACCACACAAACCCTACCCTACTAAGGTTAAGATTAGGTTAAGATTAGGTTTTATTCTAAGTGTGAGGAACAGGACTGAACGGATGGAAACTTGGCAAAGCAAACGTTGTAATGTAACCCGGGGGGGGGGAGGATAAAAGTGTAGGCGGGCCTAGAAAATACAGGACTGTTCAAATCAAAACCAAGGGCCGCGGGGCTTACATGGGCCTTATTGAACAGAGCCGCCCGAAAAGTCTATTGGAGAAGTGTAACAGCAGCCCTTTGCTCATGATGGGCTACACATTAACAAGGCAAGGAAGAGGATTAAATAACAAGATTAGGGTCATAGTAAGGGTAGCAGGTAGTAGCGTCATTAAGTCATGTCGGCGTTACGAGAAGTACCATTATAGTAACTGCTGGCGTCGTCTTTTTTTCTCCAGATAAACTAAAATCTTAAACAAGAAAACAGTAGCTGGAGGTTTTGAGGATGTTTCAACAAAAAATAATCTTAAACACGTTTCGACTTTGTAAAACATGTGACCACTAGAAGGTCGAACAAATAGGTCTAAGAATGTCTAATACAGGTCTATCATAAGTACCACGTGACAGATTGGTCAATGGATAGACAGAGATGTTATAACCCGAAACTTTACAGTTCAATTCCAAGCTGAAAACGTGGGCTGATTTTCAAGTTGTAACACAAGGTACGAAAACGTTTCCTAACACAGAAAAAATATCAACATACTTGGAATAATTGAAATGAAAGCCTTCGAGTATTTGAGGAATTAAAACGCAATGGAGTAGACGAAAATCTGGAATGGGTTGAGGAAAATGAAAGCGATTAGAACAGGAAGCAGAAGACATAGCAGATGAGAGAATACCGGAAGCTGGCATGTGGCACCGGAAAAGGTCAAGGGGCGAGCCGAGAAGGTCGAACTTGAAGATCAAAATTCAAGAAAAAACGTGGACGGGAGGATGACAAGCGTGGCAAATGTTTTAAGTCAGTAAAGTGACTTTAGTCGATAACGTGACTTCATTCAATAGTGACTTCATTTAATAAAGTGAGTTTAGTCAATAAAGTGATTTCAGTGAATAAAGTGACCTCAGTTGAAAACAGTGTTTCTTCCAGACTTTTTTCTCCGGGGGGGCAATTGAAATTTTCGGGGGGGGGCGGTAGACTTTCTTCGGGGGGGCGGACACTGTTAAAAGTATATATTTTCTATATAAATTATATAAATTTCATTTCGTTCGGGGGGGCGGTAAAAATTTTTCGGGGGGGCTAAGCCCCCCCGAAGAGATGCCTGGAAGAAACTCTGGTTGATAAAGTGAATTTGGTCAATACAGTGACTTCAGTTAAAAAGTTAAAAAAAAAAAGAGAATAAAGTGAATTGTCATAAATGACCTCGGTCATATAGAGTGCAGTTTGACTAAATTTCCTACAAAGACCACCAGTAGTCTATTTTGAGCTTAGTAATAGGGCTATAAGATCGTATCTAAATCTATATCTGTATGTACATATGTATCTATCTATATACTATACAGATCTCTATATATTTGATTGACATACAGACTTTGTTACAGAATAAAGATATCAAATTTTTTAGGCTACACCTAAGATGAACAGCAACACCGAAACGAAGATCTAAAAATAGCGCTTTCTCGAAGTTCAAAAGTCACATTGTTCAAAGTGAAGCGAGAAACGTATTTAAAAGGTCAGTCTGCCACTTGCACTTTTCTGCACCTCATTGCGCACTATGTTGCGCAAATGTCTTCTGTTTAACTGAAGCGGTACGCGTACATTCAAATTAATACAAGACTTTGCTTATACAGTGGGGAAAAAATAAAAGACTCTTTCTTAGTGGATAAGTTTCATTAAAAATTCCAAAACATGAAACTACAAATTTGGTTTAAAAAGCGATAGATGTTATTAAAAAAAAAATTCTCAAGATTAGAAATAGCTCTTTAACCAGCCCTGGGATTGGATGAGAATGGTAGTTGAGTTAAAAATAGAAGTACTACCAGTCACGTGAGTGATACCAGCCCTTTTAACTGAGGTAAATTACTGACATCACGGTGAGGTGAAATACCCTAGTTCAGTGATACTTAGGCAAATGGCACCTAAAGGCTACCTGGGCTATTACTTGCTACCACCTCAGCAATTATTGGCGACCCCAGAACCTAATGGCTACCTGAGCAATTATTGGCTACCTAAGCACTTTATATCTACATGAGAACCTAAAGGCGACCTCAGCAATTATTTGCTACCTGAGTACCTCACAGCTACCCGAAAACCCTAATAGCTACCGGATCACAAAACGGCTACCTGAGCAATTAAAGGCTGAAGAGCACCCAGCAGCTACTTGAGTACCCAACAACTACCTGAGTACTCAACGTCTACCTGAGTACCCAACAGCTACCTAAGAGTACCCATCAGCTACCTGAGTACCCATCAGCTACCTGAGCACACAACAGCTACCTGAGTACCCAACAGCTACCTGAGTACCCAATGGCTACCTATCAGCTACCTACCTGGGCGTAGTCCGTGCTGAGGCCATCCGTGACGGAGATGGTGAGGTTGTAGCTGCTCCGTGTCTCATAGTCCAGGTGCTCGGCCAGGTAGATGGAGCCGTGGTCAGGTAGGATGGTGAACGTGTCGTCGTCGTTACCGGCTGGTGAACAAAGATGGCGCTGGTTAGCAGGGAACAAGTGAGGTAAGGGGGGACAAGTGAGGTAACGGGGAACAGGTAAGGTAACAGGGGAACAGGTGAGGTAAGGGGGGACAGGTGAGGTAAAGGGGGACAGGTGAGGTAAGGGGGAACAGGTGAGGTAAGGGGGACAGGTGAGGTAAGGGGGACAGGTGAGGTAACGGGTGAGGTAAGGGGAAACAGGTGAGGTATTGGGGAACAGGTGAGGTAAGGGGGAACAGGTGAGGTAACGGGTGAGGTAAGGGGAACAGGTGAGGTAAGGGGGAACAGGTGAGGTAACGGGTGCGGTAAGGGGAACAGGTGAGGTAAGGGGACAGGGGAGGTAACGGGGGCAGGTAAGGTAACGGGGGAAGGTGAGGTAACGGGGAACAGGTAAGGTAACAGGGGAACAGGTGAGGTAAGGGGGGACAGGTGAGGTAAGGGGGAACAGGTGAGGTAAGGGGGACAGGTGAGGTAAGGGGGACAGGTGAGGTAACGGGTGCGGTAAGGGGAACAGGTGAGGTAAGGGGACATGGGAGGTAACGGGGGCAGGTGAGGTAACGGGGGCAGGTGAGGTAACGGGGGCAGGTGAGGTAACGGGGGCAGATGAGGTAACGGGGGCAGGTGAGGTAACGGGGTAGATGGAGCCGTGGTCAGGTAGGATGGTGAACGTGTCGTCGTCGTTACCGGCTGGTGAACAAAGATGGCGCTGGTTAGCAGGGAACAAGTGAGGTAAGGGGGGACAAGTGAGGTAACGGGGAACAGGTAAGGTAACAGGGGAACAGGTGAGGTAAGGGGGGACAGGTGAGGTAAAGGGGGACAGGTGAGGTAAGGGGGAACAGGTGAGGTAAGGGGGACAGGTGAGGTAAGGGGGACAGGTGAGGTAACGGGTGAGGTAAGGGGAAACAGGTGAGGTATTGGGGAACAGGTGAGGTAAGGGGGAACAGGTGAGGTAACGGGTGAGGTAAGGGGAACAGGTGAGGTAAGGGGGAACAGGTGAGGTAACGGGTGCGGTAAGGGGAACAGGTGAGGTAAGGGGACAGGGGAGGTAACGGGGGCAGGTAAGGTAACGGGGGAAGGTGAGGTAACGGGGAACAGGTAAGGTAACAGGGGAACAGGTGAGGTAAGGGGGGACAGGTGAGGTAAGGGGGAACAGGTGAGGTAAGGGGGACAGGTGAGGTAAGGGGGACAGGTGAGGTAACGGGTGCGGTAAGGGGAACAGGTGAGGTAAGGGGACATGGGAGGTAACGGGGGCAGGTGAGGTAACGGGGGCAGGTGAGGTAACGGGGGCAGGTGAGGTAACGGGGGCAGATGAGGTAACGGGGGCAGGTGAGGTAACGGGGGCAGGTGAGGTAACGGGGGCAGGTGAGGTAACGGAGACAGGTGAAATAATAGGGAACAAGTGAGGTAACATGGAACAGGTGAGGTAACATGGAACAGGTGAGGTAACTGAGAATAAATGAGGTAACGGGGAACAGATGAGGTAACTGGGAACAAGCCCCACAGTAATTTTTAGTTAATAGAGGACACATTCCTATACTTGCGTAAGTGCAATAGTTTAGTTAACGAGGGATACGGATTTGACTGATTAAGGGAACCTGCCAGTTTTTAAGTGACCAGGCGATAACTAAATGCATGGGATCCTTACAGATGGTCAACGACAGCTCCAATACGCCGTCACTATACCTTTTAACTCACGTCTTCAGTACTAGCTATTAGGATACGTTTAACTGAACAGTACACTTCCAGTCTTAAAACACTGTTCACCTAATTCCTCACCAACCTGCTTATAATGGCTGACACTGGCCCATAATGCACTGGAGTAAACACGACGCATGAGGTAAAGAGGGGGGGGGGGGTAAGGTAGAGGCAAGTCTAAGCTGAAGTCAAATAAAAGAAATCTTTATGTCCTCGACTCAGCGCTAGGGAAATGGTAAAGTCAACCCCTTGTTGCTGAAGGAATGGTCAAGTTAACCCCTTGTTGACTGCATAAGACTTAAAGGCTGTACACAACTATGTGGGAGTTTAAAAAAAAAAATTGGGGTTAACTTTTTACTGGACTATTGCAGCAAGTTCGTAAGAGGACGACAACAGACGCGTCTAATTAAGCTTAGCAATGATAATTTAATTAGGGGCTAGTAATGGCTGGAGACAAGACCAGCCCGAAATACCCACTGGCTGTCCGTCCAAAGGCCCCGCTGCGCCCTCTAGCGCTAACGCCGTATGACGCATTTCATTACGCGCGCACGTGGGAGTGAGCTACGCTTTTCTAGCCAAGAAACGTGTTTTATGTCTTAGTTTTAATTGCTTTCTCAAGTAGAAAAAAAAACCCAAAAAACAACACCATACGTTTTAAAATAAGTTACGGTATTATTTTTAGTTTGTAAACAATAAAATACATAGAATTTAAAGCATGGTCGGGTTGGTAGAGCTCCAAGCTCGAACCCAGGACAGATGAGGTTGCTAACTGGGGACAGCAACCTAATTATGAGAGAAAACTCCAGAATTAAACAACTGCTGCTTTGTAGTTTGTTCTTGGATGGATACAAGCAGTGTTCCCTCTAAGCTGCGCGGCTGCGCGGCCGCGCAGCACTTTCAAATGTGCCGCGCAGACATTTTCTGATGCCGCGCACAGATTATCAGAACGTCGGGCAAGCCTGATTCACTAAAAAAATGAATTAAGCGACATTTTTAGTACCTGTTTTGTTAAACGAACAGTCTTTGTGTTTTGAGGCCTCGACCAAACTGATACTTAAAGCTTGTGACCCCTGGGGGAGGGGGTGACCTCGGTTGTCATACCACAGGTCTAGTTAATGACTTAACTCTCAACTGAGCGGGACGGGTACCGATGTGATGTCTGGGTGACACTCCCTCTGCTTGATTTAATGGTTTACCCCAAAACTGACCGTAAAAGGGATTGTGGCTAGTAGCTGACCATGCAAGGTTTTATTTTCTATTGTCACTGCCCTCCCCCATCTCCCAACCCCACCCACCTCCTTGATACTATGACGGTTTATTCAAGTCAGATGCAAATTCTAGGTTACTTAAGGTGGATGTGTTTTACTCTGTTTGGTTTAAGGATTTATATACTGTATATCCAATTCTTGGGATTATTACGTGCACCTGGATCGAACTGTTTCAGTATTCAAAGACTGGTTTAGTAAATAAGGAATAAAAGTTTACTACTCAGTGCTTTTTGAAAATGTTGAAAAGAAAAATGTGTGTAACAAGCGGTAAAACAATGCAGCAAAAAAAAAGCGAGAGATTCGTTTAAACTGGAATGGCTCAAAGTTAAAGTAACAACCGATACGCCAGATTCTAAGAATGTTTCAGTTGAATTAGGAAGCATCTATGAATATTTAGATGAGATTGGACTGAAGTGGACTTCAGTGATTGGACTGTGCTGCTAGTACTTGTAACAAAACCAACAAAGACAACGAATTTGTCACAAGAAAGCGTTGGGAATCATGGAAGATTGACTACTGTAAACGTCATTTGTCTCGTGTTCACGAAGAAAATGTTGCGATTTTGTACACCCGCTCAAATGGGACTGGTCTCAAACGTCTGCTGGTTGAAACTAACACTGAGCGAGAAGAACGAATTGAACAAAATGAGCGCCAGCGTTCAAACGAGGATCAAGTTCGAATCCTAATGGATAATGTTCTTCTCGCCATTAGGATGAACGCCTCGATGCTGTCGGTACAACTGATTCATAACCACATGGTGAAGTATGTTTCTATACGAGACAGTTGGCAGAACTTCGAGTAGCATCGTTCCACACGCTTATAGTTGATGAAAGTACTGACATAACAGTACATAAAATGCTAATCTTTTATTTTAAATTTCGTCCAGTCAATTATTTATTCTACAAAACCGTTTTTGGTGGAATAATTCAGCTTACCGCATGTGATGCCTCAGCTCTGGAGGCAGCCATAACACAGTACTACACTGAAAATCAACTTGACATGAACCGCATGGTAATGATAACATCAGACGGGGCATCGGTTATGTTAGGCCGTAGGAAGGGATTAGCTGCTTTACTGAAGGCTAAGGTCCCCCATCTTGTTGAACAGCACTGTGTTGCTCATCGATAAGACTTGGCACTTTCTGATGCTTGGAAAGATGTTAATTTGTTTAAAAATATTGAGGTTCTCTTACGCAGTTTACATTTTATTTAGTCGATCTTTGGTTAAAAAGGGCGCACTTGAAGAATTGGCCAAGATGCATGATATGGATGTAATTTCTTTTCGACCAATTCATGAAGTTCGTTGGTTGTCACGTCACTTTGCTGTCAGTGCTTTGGTTAGAAATCTTGATGTTTTAGCTGCTTACTGTGAAGAACAAGTCCAAGACTGCAATGATCCTGTTTGTAGTTATGTTTTGAGATCATTAAGAGATCCCCTGTATCAAGTTGCGCTTTATACCGTTAATGATGTATTAACTGAATTAGCTAATCTATCAATGTTGTTGCAGCGAAGTAATTTATCATCTATTGAAGCACATCAATTTTGCATTTCTAAAATACGCAAATTAGAAGCACAATACCTGAGTGAAGATGTATATTGGAATGATAAAGCCAAGAAAATTTTGAATGAAAACGTATGAATCGACACAAGACAAATCACGCAGTTTATACGATCGGTCTGCGATCATTTAAGTGTAAGGTTTCCAGGAGATGAACTGCAGTTTTGGTCAGCTTTTGATCATACTGGTTTAAAAAAATTGTGCATTTGAGTTTGGCGTCAAAGAGATCAAACAACTGTGCGTTAAGTGCAAAGACTTGTTACAAACAACAAATGAAGAGTCATTTATCACGCAATACAATGACTTCAAATTTCAGATCAGTGAAAAACTCAAATCAGGTTCAGTAAATTCACTAACTGAAATCGCAGGAGTTACTTTAAACGATGAACAATTTAGCTCATTGGCAAAGTTAATTAACATATGCTGTACTTTTCAAGCATTCAGCGCTGATTGCGAGCGAG